CCCCCCCTCTCCTTCCCAAGGCTTCAGCCAGAAGACGAGGAAGATCCGCTGCGGCCCCGAGACCCTCTTCGGGGAGGTGAGGGCGAACCGGCGGGTGTCCTCTGCGGGCCGGGGCGGGGGACGGGGCCGGTGCCTGGGGGGGCGGCGGAGGGGAGCGGGGCCGGGGAGCGCCCACCCTCACCCTCCCGTCCCTGACGCCTGTGACAGCCCGGCCGGGTCCCGCCGCTCGCCTGCCGTCCCGCCCGGCCGGCTCGGTTCCCCGGGGGAGGGCAGGCGGCCGGGGTGTGGGGTGAACCGCAGCCTCGGGGGGCGGCTTTGCCGTGTGCCTGAGCCTGAGGGTGCTGCCCCGGGCCATCTCTTCTCCCCAAGCGCCTCTCTACCTTCCCGTGCCCCGTCTCAGCCCGCCAGCAGGCACAGGTGTCCTCTTCGTCCCAGCGCGATGATGCTCTGGCTTCTTTCGCAGCCAGCCCGGGGCTCTGGCCCGCCCGAGGGGCTCTCACCCCCTTCCCTATCCTTCCTTCCTCCCCAGCCCCGGGCAGCTCTTTGTCGTGCTCTTTGGTTCAGTCACCTCGCAGAGCAGACCTCTCAGCCGAGAGGCACGGGTGGCGTGGCTGGGGATGAACTGGTGTCTCTCCCTGCTGTTTGGTTGTAGCTCTTCCGCTGGCCTCACTACGGGAAGCTCGTCGTGGGAGAAATGCTGTCCATCAAGGTTTACAACTGCAGCAAGGTTTTCAGTAACAGGTAGGTTCTTTGGTTGTTGGGGTGACCAGCCGTTGCGGAGAAGAGACGTACCGGGCTTTAAATTTTCTACTAGGTGTAGAAAATTTTTGTTGGAAATTTGATGGAAGGAAGATGAGCAGGATACAAGTTGTAGAAGAGAGATGGAGCTGGTTGTTCTGATGCGGCGGCAGAGCTGTATACATGAAGTTAACTAAGGCTTAGTTCCATTTAGTTGTGCCAGCAATAACAGAGATTACCTAAGGATGGATCCAGATCAGGCCCCAAGGTGGGGCAAAGGTAAAATAGGCCCCTAAAAAATAGAGCTGCAAGGGCAGGACTTAGAGCAGAATGGGGACCTGCTCTCACCCTGTAGAACCACCTGGTGACTGGACCATGCTGCACCCAAATTCAACATGCCTATCAGTGGGGAAAAGCCCCAAGCCTGTGGCAGTATGGTTTAACCTTTAAAAAAAGACAGCAATTTAAGCTTAAAGGATCAGCCAGAATTTAGAATGCTTCTAGGTGGCACAGACACGATACTGTGAACTCAGCAATTATTCCAGCAGTTGTAAAACACTTTAGGGAAACCCAAGAGTAGAGGTGACAGGTTGAGTAGTGGTGGAGCAGGCGAGAGAGCAGAGGCACGTCCTTCCAGGACACGAGAAACATGAGGATGCAGGGAATGGTGCCAACTCTGATAAGCAATACGTAAAAACTAAAGGAAAATCAATAGGAACAACTTTCTAGAGGCACTTAATAATACAAACCTTTTCAAAGCCACCATAAGCCTGCTAGAGAGGGTGTGGAGGAAGCAGATAAGTACAGCTCATGCGAGATACCTAAAAGATAAAGCGAGAGTAGAAAATGCAGCTGAACTTTGTGTCACTGTTTACTGGGTGCTTTCCTTATGGGAGCTGGATCAGAGCAGTTGTCTGTAACTGAAATGTCAATAGAAACTGCTATAGGACAAATAAATAAAACAAACAGTAACAAATCACAAGGACCTGATGGCACTGAGCAAAGAAGTCGGTGGGAAATGAGTGGGCTGGCACTGACAGCACCTCTCCACACACCTCTGCAGCTGGGGAGCAGGTGACAAGCACTACAGTTTAAAAGCAGGTGGCCAGTGCACTGGGATAGAGAGTGTGAAAGGACAGAAGGGAAAAATTTGCTACACAGCTGTACTGATGTGTGGTCTCTGGACTTCTGTGTGTGCAGCCTTTCTGTGGCAGCAGCAGCGAGCTCAGAGGGGCCGTGAGCAGGAGAACAGAGATCCTGGAACTCTCTTCCCCCAGGATGTAGGCACTGATCACAGAATCACAGAATTGAAGGGGCTGGAAGGGACCTTCCGATATCATTGTTCAATCTCCTGCCAAAGTAGATTTGCCTAGGGCAGGTTGGACAGGAACGCATCCAGGCAGGTTTGAATATCTCCAGAGAAGGAGACTCTCCACACCTTCTCTGGGCAGCCCGTTCCAGGGCTCTGGCACCCTCAAAGTAAACAAGTTTGTTCTCATGCTGCGATGGAACGGCCTGTGTTCCAGTTTGTGCTTGTTGCCCTTTGTCCTATCACTGGGCACCATGGAGAAGAGCCTGACCCCATTCTCTTGACACCCACCCTTTAGGTACTGATCAGCACCAATGAGATCCCCTCTCAGTCTGCTCTTCTCCAGCCTGAAGAGACCCAGGTCTGTCAGCCTTTCTCCATAAGAGATGTTCTAGCCCCCTGATCATCTTCATAGCCTCCGCTGGACTCTCTCCAGCAGTTCCCTGTCCTTGAAATGCGGAGCCCAGAACTGGACACAGTACTCTAGATGCAGCCTCACCAGGACAGAGCAGAGGGAGAGGATGACCTCCCTTGACCTGCTGGCCACGCTCTTCTTAAAGCACCCCAGGGTGCTGTTGGCCTTCTTGGCCACAAGGGCACCTTGCTGGCTCATGGGCAACTTGTTGTCCACCAGGACTCCCAGGTCTCTCTCTCCAGAGCTGCTCTCTAGCAGGTCCGTCCCAACCTGTAATGGTGTATGGGATTGTTCTGACACCTAACCCATGCTTCCTAAGCTGACCTATGAGGATGTTATGGGAGACAGTGTCAAAAGCCTTGCTAAAGTCAAGGTAGAGAACATCCACTGCTCCCCTCATCCACCCAGCCAGTCCTTCTATTGTAGAATGCTATCAGACTGGTCAAGCATGACTTCCCCATGATCAATCCATGCTGACCACTCCTGATGACCTTTTTTTCTGTTCTCATGCTGCGATGGAACGGCCTGTGTTCCAGTTTGTGCTTGTTGCCCTTTGTCCTATCACTGGGCACCATGGAGAAGAGCCTGACCCCATTCTCTTGACACCCACCCTTTAGGTACTGATCAGCACCAATGAGATCCCCTCTCAGTCTGCTCTTCTCCAGCCTGAAGAGACCCAGGTCTGTCAGCCTTTCTCCATAAGAGATGTTCTAGCCCCCTGATCATCTTCATAGCCTCCGCTGGACTCTCTCCAGCAGTTCCCTGTCCTTGAAATGCGGAGCCCAGAACTGGACACAGTACTCTAGATGCAGCCTCACCAGGACAGAGCAGAGGGAGAGGATGACCTCCCTTGACCTGCTGGCCACGCTCTTCTTAAAGCACCCCAGGGTGCTGTTGGCCTTCTTGGCCACAAGGGCACCTTGCTGGCTCATGGGCAACTTGTTGTCCACCAGGACTCCCAGGTCTCTCTCTCCAGAGCTGCTCTCTAGCAGGTCCGTCCCAACCTGTAATGGTGTATGGGATTGTTCTGACACCTAACCCATGCTTCCTAAGCTGACCTATGAGGATGTTATGGGAGACAGTGTCAAAAGCCTTGCTAAAGTCAAGGTAGAGAACATCCACTGCTCCCCTCATCCACCCAGCCAGTCCTTCTATTGTAGAATGCTATCAGACTGGTCAAGCATGACTTCCCCATGATCAATCCATGCTGACCACTCCTGATGACCTTTTTTTCTTCTACATGCTTAGAGATGACATCTAGGATGAGCTGTTCCATCACCTTTCCAGTGATGGAGGTGAGGCTGACCGGCCTGTAGTTTCTGATGCTACATACAGTGTTACTGCAACCTCTGGTTTTGTTCCAGGCTTCTTGGTACCCTTGTCCTCAGCCTTCAGCACCTGATGATATCTGGGAGGCTGATCCTCCGGGAGGCCCTCGTCGACAGGAACCACAGAGTCACTGGTGTAAGTCCTCCACGGGTGGCCTGGCCATCAGCAATCAGGAAGGATTTGTGGGAAAACTTGTGTGGTGCTTCCCAAGTGGATTGGGGGCTGAGGGAGAGTCCAAGGTGCTGCTTTGAGCCTGGGAGCACTGCAGCATTTGTGCCCTCTCTACACAGGGATGCAGCCACTTTACACATGTCAAGTGGTTCTAGGAGCATCCAGAAGTGTGTGGGGTGGGGTGGGGTGGGGGCCCGGGAACCCGCTGAGGGGCTTAGTAAAACCTCCCTGGGTGATAGATGAGGGAGGTGGTATTTCATTTGCTTCCTGCACCATGCAGTGCATGGGCACGGGCTGCTGCAGCCTGTGAGGCAGAGGGGAGCCGATGGGGTGAGGCAGGGTGCCTTGGGAACCCGATGAGCTTTTAGGTTAAACGCCAGTGCTTAATGATGGTCTGGGGCACCATGAGTGGCTCTGACACCTGCCTGCCTCTCTGCTCTGTGCCGTGGCTCCCGCTTACCTCCTGCCCTGGTGCTAGGGCTCACTGGGCCCTTTGTGCTGATGGAAAATGAACATGACCCAAAAATGAGCCATTTCCTGCCAGTGGGGTGTGCAGGCACGGTACAGTCAGTGGTGGACAACCAGGGCTTGGTGCCAGGGCTGCGGGCAGAGCCGGGGGGGGGAAAGGCAGAAGCGGGCAGCCCTGCCATGTGCTGTGCCCCATTGTGTCCTTCCCATGGGCAACCTGACTCACCCTTGTGGTGGCCATGGGGATGCAGCTCTGTGGCCACCAGACCACTAGCCCGAGTGGCACAAGCATGGCTTTCTTGTATTGCTGAGCTGACTGGATCAGGGAGCAGCTCCAGGTGGAAACTGAGCATTTCCAGGGTGATTTTTAACCCCATGCAGCTCACTCCATAAGTGTTTGTGTCAACAAAGGGACAGGGACTAAACTGACCCTTTGGCATCACTCCATGCTGGCAGCAGTTTGAGGGGGCTGTTGTGAGCTGGGGTGCTCACACCGCTGTTAGGTTGGAGCTGCTCTGTGGCCCAGCCCTATGCCCTGGCTGCCTCTTCTCTTGTGCTGCCAGCAGTGCTCATGCTGATGAGCCGCTCCAACCAAAAACCAGCTGCATTGGGTTTTGCCAGGTTCATTTTTGATTGTGCAGCCCTGGCTGCACAGAGGCTGTGGGGGGAGAAACAAGGCAGGCAAGACCGGAGACGCATCCAAGGGCAGCCTGAGACCCCCTCCCTCTTTCTCAGCTGGGAAGAGACACATCCCCAAGGGAAAGAGGCTGTTTCAACTGCTGCTCCTTTAGCAAAGTGGGAATAAAGCCCTTCCTGCTTTTCCAAGTCCTGTTCTTCTCTGGGACCTGGGTTATTTACACCATTTTTTCTTCTGGTGGTTTGAAGGGTATTTTTTGGACTTAGCTGTTCACCCAGCTTTATCTCAGGCTTCTGCATCCATCCAGCCTTTGCTACTGTTTCCCAGTCACTGTACTACTGCTTTCTTGGGCTGTATTTCTCCTCCCAGAAACATGTGTTTTCCGGGGACTGAGCTCTGAAGTCAGCTTGTAGATCCCCTTCAGCCTACTAAGAAGGGACCTGCTCCATGGCTGCGGTTTTGGCCTCTGCTGGGAAATCCTTGTGTGTTTGTGTTGATTTGAAATCAGGCTAGTCACCTGCAGACAAAGTATTTTCAGACCCATGCTGGCTGTGCCAATACTCGATGTGCTTCTCTGGCTGTCCTTCTTCATCAGTAATGCTAAGTCAATGTCTCTTGTGATCCAGACTCTGGGTGTGCTTATGGCTCCTGTGGTGCTTTAAACCAAGCTGTCATGCCTGGGGATGCTCTGTCCACTGTCTTGTGCCTCCCACAGGGAGACTGCACGTTGGTTTGCTCTGCTGTAAGGCTGTCCCCACTTTCCTTACCAAAAATGCCCCAAGATGGCTCTTAGGGGTGGTATAGTTTAGATTTGGAAACTTGAAACTTCAGTGAATCCTGGAGTTTGGGAAGCTGCAGGGGGGGAGTTTGGTCATTGATGGAGGCAGACAAGGAGAGTATGGTATAAATAGGCTTCTTGTGGGGTTGTGACCCCCTTCCTTTCCCTTCTTCCCACCACCGTCTCACTTCTTTTTAAATTCTGTGCTCCCCTTCCCCTTTTCCATGGCATTTCTGCAGTTTTGTGGCTGCCAAGTTCTCAAGCAGTTTCATTTTCTGTTTGTAGATCTACATTGAGTTGGATTTGCGCTACCAGCCTCCAGATGGCTCAGCTGGGACCTGGGTTGAGGAGGACTTTGTTTACCAGATGAAAGACAGGTATTGAAATCCTGGGAGGAGCAAATTTACAGGCGGCTTGTACAGCTGCCTTTGCCAGTGGCACCCTTTGGGATGCAATCCAGCACCATTTACTCTCCACCCCTGGCCAGGCTGGCCAGGTGCTGCTCTACAGCAGCAATAAGTGAGCAGGGCTCTTGGGCAGAAAATACCTTGTCTTCACAAAGAGCCTGTGACTGCAACAACCCACTGCACCCTGGGAGTCCTTTTAGATCCGAGAGTGTTTCTGCAGTCTTTCTGGCTGACGGGAGCAAGACTTCATGGCTGCAAAGTTGGAGAGAATGTGGCTTTGGACTGTAGCAACCCCAAGCACCTTGCACACAGATGGTGCCCAAAGCCAGGGGAGATGTGTGTGTCTGGGTGGACAGGATAACAGGCAGCAGCAAGGTCTGGGGAGTGTCACTTCTGGAAGGCCAGAGACAAAGCAACGGGCACACAGGGTGAACAGTGGAAAAGTGTCACTTAGGAGGATGCTCATGTCCCTGCCAAGAGCCAAGCGGAAGCATGGCTGTGGCACTATTACTTAAATGCATCCGTGAACAGCCTCAACACATTTGTTTTTCAGCAAAGCATCTCTTTTTCTTACAGTTCTGAGTTAATCATCCGCAATCCTGGATTTGAGGAGCTGGAGTAAGTAGCCTTACTCCTCACGGGTGGAGGGGAGCACACAACCCGCTCGTCAGGGCTGACGATGCGGCGTGTGACACGGTGGGGGGTTTACAGGGCAGCCGAGGGGCCGAGAGCGAGTGAACTGGACCGGAGGGCTGCTGCGCTAGGCAGAAAGCTGGCGAAAGGCCTGGACACTGATGAAGAAGAGGAAGAGGAAGAAGAAGATTTCTATGATGTGTCTGAGATGGAAATCTCGGGCATTGTCTTCAGCCCTGTGAAGAGGTATCCATGGCGTGCTCTTCTCTCTTGCCCCTGCTTGGGCCCTGGGGTGGAAAGTGCCATCTCATGGGGTGATTTGTGGGGGAATCTCACATCTCTTGACATTCTGCTTCTGCAAAATGTTGGAAACCTTCAGTCTCCAATGGCCCCAAACAGTGACTGTTGGGGATTTGCTTATTCCCAGGGCAAGGGGCCATTATTTTCCAGGCTCTCTGTTTCTTCCCTCAATGGGGCCTTGCTCAGGTCCATGTAGATGAAGGGACTTGCTCACTCAGGTTGTTTTTCTGTGCAGCCGCTCCAGACTTTGCTCCGCACGGGACCTCTTTGCCACCCCAACCCCGCAGAGCTTCCAGGTACTGCAGCGTTGGATGCGTGTCCGTGCAGCTCCCTCTGGCCCTGCAGCCAGTCCCTTGCTGCCTTGCTCCAGGCCTGGGCTTCTCCAATTGCCACATACCCCAGCAAGGCCTCTATCATGAGGACCCCTTCTTGCTTTGTGTGGTTTCCCTGAGCAAGGTGTGAGATTTCCTGAACGGATTGCATCCATGAGTGCTGACTCAACATCAGCCAACCCGGAGCAGAGTTTCTTTCTGGGCCATGTAGCTATGGATGTACAGGAGAATGGAATCAGCCTGACAGCTGCATGTGCTGCTGCAAAACACTGCCCAAGCAGAGCTTTGGAGAGCACCCAGGGACAACTGGTGCCTTCCAGCCTCCCCAGGGCTTGCCTGGGCCCCCAGGAACATGTGTGGGACATGGCTGGGGGTGGAGGGCTATTCCAGGGGCTTTCTTGGAGATGCCAGGAGGCTGGTGTGAAGCTGTGGCTCAGGCCATTGCTCTGACATCAGGTTTATTTGAAACCCCTCTAAAGTTTGGAAATGGAGTTCAGTCCATCTTTTGCCCTGCAGATTTCAGAGCAGGCCTCCCAGCCTGGCTGTGGATTTAAATCCTTTTAAAATCCTTTTTAAATTAGATCCTTTCAAATTCTTCCCTGGTTCTAAGTAAATGTGGACTCACATTTGGGTCTCCTGCTTTTCAGGGCTGGGTCCTGAAAGCAGGAAGATTTTGTCAGGGTGGAATTTCATACCATCCTTTTCTTGAAGCTATTATTCACCGTAACAACTGTCTAGTTGCTTGTACTGAGAGCAAATGTGAGAACATTTCTCCCATGTTGTAGATGCATAAACAGTCACAGCAAATGAGACAGCCCCATTCCAGTCTTTCCAGTGGTGTCCATTTCAGTAGGATTCAAAGAGAAGTGCTGACAGAAGATACAAAGAGCATCTTCTCCAAGATGCTCTGTGGACCCCACCATGTGGGAGCAGTGAGTTTGCATCCCCCTGGGGTCAGGAACTGAGTGGAGACAGTGCTGCCGGGGAGGCTGCACTTGTCAAAGGTGCTGGGGATCTAAGACTTCATTTCCTTGCTTGTCTGAAAGAAACAAGTATCTCAAGTACCATTTTGGTTTGTCCTGTCCATAGCAGATTTCAGCAGCCATGCACTTGCCTGCCCCAAGCGTCCACCCTCCAGCAAGAGGGCCCTGCACATTCACATACTGCTATTGCTGAAACAAGCTCAAGATGGACCTGCAGACGAGGAGAGTACTGATCTGAAGGTTTTCTCCCACGTTTTCTCAGGTTGGGATTAATATAATTGAAGCGCAGAAGCTGGTGGGGGTGAACATAAACCCCTTTGTGGTAGTCAAAGTTGGAGAGGAGAAGAGGCACACGGCAACGCAGAAGTCAACAAACTGCCCCTTCTACAATGAAGTATGTGACAGGGACAGAGGCTCTGTCCTTGCCATACCAGTGTCCCAAGTGGCTGGGGCTGTCCTTGCAGGCAATGCTTGGGATGCAGCTGCTCTCGAGCAGAGGTGCTTGTGGGGCCCTGGGGCTCAGCTACTTTGCTCTTCTCTTCCAGTATTTTCTGTTTGAATTTCATGAGCCAAGGGACGTTTTATTCCACAGACTCATAGAGATCTCGGTAAGTTTGTCCTCCTCTTTATACTTCCTCAGTAACTGGTCCAGCCCATCGCTTATGCTTGTAGATGTTGGCAGTGATGGGCAAAACAAAGGTACTGGTACCAGCCAGGTCTTCCAGCCAGAGGCATCTGCCTGGCAGAGAGACCCAAGGGCCTTCCTGCGGCCACAGTGGGGCAGAGACCCAGCAGTGGGTAGTGCAGCATTCCCACCTCCTCTGTGTCAGGATTTCTCTGCATCCAGTGACTGAAATGGGACTCCTGGGGTAGTTTCTTGCCTGGCGGCCTTGCAGACTGACTTTTTTGGGGAGGATTCCCTGCTGCCCCTTACCCTGGAGGCTCGTCCTGCAGGTTGTGGAGGCGAATGACTGGTGTGAGGGGAGGTCAGCAGTGATTTGTGCTTGCAGAAAAAAACAGGCAGGCAGAGAGCAGTCTTCAGAAATCCCCTGGCACAAAGTGCGGGGGCTTCTCCAAAGCACGGGGCTTTTCTGAAGCTGGCTAAACCCAGCCAACACCTCCTTTGTCACACTGCCTCCAGCACTTGCCCTGTGAAAGGCTGCTCATCTCTTCTGCTGGTGTGGGCTCAGCAAGCACTGAGCACGGCCTGGATTTTGGGAGAGACACTAGCCTGGTGGGGGCTCTGCCCTGACCCACTGGGATATGGACATAGGAGTCCCTGTGGGAAAGCAGGTCTGCCCTTGGTCCATTGTGGGGATTTGGCTTATCTGGGGTTGGCAGAAGCAGCTGAATTGGTTGCATGTGAATTTCCCTTGCCCAGGTTTGACTGAGGGTTATGGGCTCATGGGCTTTGTGGGAATTGTTGGGCAGAAATGAGTTTTTCCCAGGGCTAACTCAGATGCGTCACTGTGCATGAGGAGGTTGCAACTGCTGCCTGAGCTGTGTGTTGGAATGGGCATCTCTTAGCTGTCCCTCCTCAGAGATACTTGGATGTGTCACCTGGCTGCCCACATCTCTTGGTGCTCAGGGACATTTCTGCTGTCTGCAGGTTTTTCACTCAAAGAAGATACCGTTCCTGGGAATGTGCATAGGAACATTCAAGATGGATGTTGTGACAGTGTACAGCCAGCCAGGTATGACCAACTGCACTGCTTCCCTGCTCCCTGGCCCCGGCCTTGTCTGAAACAGATGTTTCCTTCATGCTCTGCTGAGCTTGATGAGGACCCTGTCTTCCAAGCACTTAGTTCACATGAGGACTGGCACTTGCTTCTCCTCCTGACTGTCTGAGGGCTGGTCTCACCTTCAGAGGCAGGGCCAGAGCAATCTTTGTGCAGACGTAGTTGGGATGTGAGATGGTAACCTGGGCTCTCTATAGGGAACTCATTTCCTTCCCCTCAGATCACAGGTTTTTCCAGAAGTGGGCTGTTATCAGTGACCCCACGGACACCCGGGCAGGTGTGAAAGGCTTTGTGAAGTGCAACATCTCTGTCACCGCACGTGGGGACGTTGTGGGCTCCCTTCCCACCTCTTCCAGCAGCCGGGATGAGGACATTGAAAGGTAGGTGCAGTGCAGTCTTGCATGGCCCTGGGCAAAACAGTCACGTCTCTCTTCACACTACCTTTTTTGCCCCATTTTCCCCTGTTTTGATGGGGAAGGATCCAGGGAGATAGCTTTGTGGGGCAGGATCCAAACCTCCTGCCACTCAGGGCATTTTCCAGCATCATATTTCCTGGGCTTCAGGAGAGAGCCAGAACATGAATTTGTCTTTTAGGAACCTGCTGCTGCCTAAGAGAGTCCCTGCAGAGAGACCCTGGGCCAGGGTCTGCATCAAGCTGTATCGTGCTGAGGGCCTGCCCAGCATGAGCGCAGGCATCATGGGTGGTTTCTCCAAGATCATAGGGGAGAAAAAAGCCTTTATCGACCCATATGTGCAGGTCTCATTCTGTGGGCAGCAGGTGAGTCTCCAGGGGGCCTTCATGGGGCCGGGCCGATCCTCCTTTGGCTGTGTGGCAGCATGCACTAGGCTGATGCTGTCAGGAGCCTCCAGGGAACACAGCAATCCCACTGGAGTCAGGCTGGGAGAGCTCAGTTCTTGCTGTCTTTGGCAGTGGCCTGAGCCGTGTGGCCATGAGTGTGCAGTGTCTGGATGAGAAGGCTTTTATGGGACTTTTGTTTCTGCAGATTGCTGCATGGGGGATGGCTCCAGCCCTGAGCACAGCCACTGGCTGAGCTACTGGTGCAGCAGACAGAGATTTCATATCCCTAAACACAGGGAAAGGGGCAAATAAATCCTGGAGCAGAAGTCCTCTGTGGCAAGCTAGGCTCAGGTTGACACCCTCAGAAGAGTTTACTGAGCTGCTGGCCCTTTGCTTGCACCCAAGGCCAGTGTTTCTGGTCCTGTGATGTCCATTAAGAAGAGAATCAGTCCCTGGCATCCTTGTGGGCCTGGGTGTGCTCCCAGAGAACCCTGTGACATCTCTGGGTCTGATGGTGCTGTCCACTTGCTTCCAATATTTCCCTTGGCTGTGCAGAGCATGGCCAGGGCCTTGGGACAGCCCCCTTGATGAAGCACAAGAGCAACTGCTGGGATGGGGGCAGAAGCAGGGATACTGCCACCTCCAGAGCTTGCCCAGCACCGTCTGCAGGTGGGACAGGAGGACATGCCATTCCCAGAGAGGCCCTGAGGCGTGCCTTGCTCTGGCTGCTGGCTGGGATTGCGTGGCTTTCACACCTTCTCCTTCCTAGGGGGAAACATCAGTGGAGACCAACACCACTGAGCCCAAATGGAATGAGCAGATCAGCTTCATTGAGATGTTCCCGCCTCTGGCCAGGAAGATAAAAGTCCAGGTGCTGGATGATGCCAATGTTGGTGATGTGGCCATTGCTACACACTACATTGACCTGCAGCAGATCTCGGACCCTGGCAGGAATGGTGAGGCCTGGCACGGCTGCCCTGTGGGACAGGGTGTCCTGGACAGCCCCATGCCTTGCACCCTCTTCTCGGCCATGGTGGTTCCTGGCAGTGGGAAGCAAGAGTGGCCAAAGCACTCTCACATCCCTGTGTTCTGGGCTGTCTTGGGGGGGTAGATCTCTCTGCATCTCCCTGTGGTATAACTAGACCCTTTCCCTGTGATGTAATTAGATCCTCTCTGTGTCACTGCAGGCTTTAACCCCACGTTTGGCCCAGCCTGGGTGAACCTATATGGCTCCCCTCAGAACTCAGCTCTGCGGGACATCCACAAAGACCTCAATGAGGGCATGGGCGAGGGGATCTTCTACCGCGGGCGCATCCTCATGGCCATCACGGTGGAGATCTTCAGCAACTCTGGCATGGCAGAGAGGAAGCTTGGGGACAAGACAAAAGGTGCCCTAAGCAAACTGAAGCTGAAGAAGAAAAGTAAGAAATCCAAGGAGAAAGCCAAAGAACTGAGGCAGCTGCAGGGAGAGGAGGAGGCTGGGGACTCTCAGGAGACTGAGCAGCCTGAGGAGGTCACTGTGGAGGTGGAAGAGCTTCATCCACTCCCCGAGGTAAATGCTGGCGTCGCTGACCCATGCTGGCTGGCCTGTGGCATGCACAGGCGTCCTGGGGCAGTGGGGTCCCTTGGTGTAACTGGAGAAAACCCAACCAGACCATTGCTGCCCCATCCAGAGCTCTCTGAGCCTCTGCAAGGGCTGAGGCCACAGTCCCAAAACGTTCCCGTGGTGAGGCTGGAGCATCCCCACCAATGCTGCCGTCCTGGCGCAGGGAGGACTCTCATGTGGATGTTATTCCCACATGAGCTGCTGTGGGCAGGGCACAGCTGCCTTTGAGCATGTACTTTTTCTCGCCTGGAGCTCAGGAGCTGTTAGCTGGCTCTGGGTCTCTGCTTGGCCTGGGAAAGGCAGGCGAGATGCAGCTGTGTTGGTACCATGGCCATCCCTTTGTCTACAAACCTGCGCAGTGGCCTCACACAAGCATCAGCCAAAGCCATGGCTCTGCATCAACCCAGCAGGATTTCCAAGAAAACTTATCCTGCCTCTGGCAGCCCAGTGGTAGTGACCTCAGCAGCATCCCACTGATGTCCCTTGGGAGGGCTGGCAGGCACCAGCCATGCCCTGATGCTCTCCAAATTTCTGCTAAGGCAGTGTTTTGGCACACAAGGCTCTTGGGCTGATTACTGTCTCCTTGCTCAGAACATGTTGGGGAGGAAGGAGGAATTCCTCCTCTTTGCTGCCTTCTTTGAAGCCACTATGATGGACTCCTCTCTCAGCTCCAAGTCTGTCAGCTTTGAAGTCTCTATAGGTGGGTATTCCCCAGGACCCTGTGTCCAGAAACTATGGGAACAGTGCAAATCTCCCTCTGATAGCCCAAGTCAGCACTATGGTCCTAAGGTGCCAGCCCTTGCACAGCTCATGCCTCCAAAACAGGATCTCGGGAGGGATGGGGGCTGAGGCCAGGGAGTGTGCACGGTGCTTTAATTACCTTGAAAGTCTGGATGCTTTCCTATAGGATCGGAGATTTGCAGTATTTGTATGAACTGCCTGTTTGGGGAGAGTGGTTGTAGCTGTCCTGGGAAGTCAAGGTAGAAGGGTTTGGGAGTAAGAAAGGGAAGCAAAGGTGGGGAAGCTGGGATACTGAGGTTGGCCACGTGGTGCTGAGGGGCTGTGACAGCGGGTGATGGGGAGACAATGGTAGGAGAGCGGGTGTGAGCCCTCCCCTGCTAAGCTGGATGGGTGGATATGTTTGATGCTGAGAAGTCTTCCTGAGTGACTGCTGCTGACCCCAGTGTATGGGAGTAGATGACAGTTAGCAGGCACTTGGTGCAACCTGAATGCATACACAAGGATGTTCTTGCAATTGCTGAGCTCCCTCAGACATCCCGGTTGTCCATGTAGTGCTCTGGTGGTTGAATGCTACTGAACTGCTAGTTCCAGAAGTCCAAGCTCGTTCAAAAGTGCATGCCCATGTGCTTCTCTTCTCAGGATGAATGCACTCTGATTTTTTAAGCTAGCAAACTTGTTTAACAGTGATCCTACTCAGCTGTTTACTGTTTAATGCTTAACTTCAAGGAAACTATGGCAAAGCTGAAGAGGTTGTGACTAAAGTATGGAGAAAAGTGGAAAAGGGAGAAGTGAAAGAAGAAAAGCAGCCTTTGCTGGACCCTGGTTCAGATGGTGAGCTGGATGTTGAAGTCCTGGCCTCAGCTTCAGCAGCACTGAACAAGTCGATGACTGAGAGCCAGAGACCAGAGCCCACAGAGTATGACAGGTGGGTCTTCTTCATCTTTCTTTCCCACCTACTCTGGTCCTGCCCCAGCTTCCCAGGTGGGTTATTCCAGATGTTATAGAGGTCTGCTCAGCAATGTGAGTGCTGTGCAGGTTTTTCTCCTCTTTGCAACGCTGCAGCTTGCCATGGGCTAGCTGGCTGACATTACCCATTAGCCCAGACACCTACAGGTGTCTGTCGATGTGTGCAGGCAGCCAGAGACAGGGCCCCTGGAAAACTGTGGCCTATCAATAATAGCAATCTTTTTTTTTTTTCTGGTTAATGAGCAGCATCCTAAGGGCTTGATTTCAGTGAGGAGGAAGGGATGGAGTATTCAAGCACATGCTGTCCAATGCTGGGCAGGCGAGACTCATAGACAAGCTCTTCTAATGATATGTTTGCTCTGGGAATGCTCTCTGGTTTGTCCTACAGGCCTGGCAATGTCTTGGTGTTTGTCTTGTGGGCCCTGTGCCTGCTACTGCACAGTTCCATAGCAGCAAGAAATCTCAGCAGCATCCAACACTCCCATCAGCCTCTTTCACAGAATCACAGAGTAGTAGGGGCTCTGGAGATCATCCAGTCCAACCCCCTGCCAGAGCAGGGTCACCCAGAGCAGGTTGGACAGGAATGTGTCCAGGCAGGTTTGAATATCTCCAGAGAAGGAGGCTCTCCACGCCTTCTCTGGGCAGCCTCTTCCAGGGCTCTGGCGCCCTCAGAGTAAAGAAGTTTTTCCTCATGTTGAGATGGAATTTCCTGTGTTCCAGTTTGTGCCTGTTGCCCCTTGTCCTGTCATTGGGCACCACTGAGAAGAGCCTGACCCCATCCTTTTGACACCCGCCCTTTGGATATTGATAGGCATTGACTCAACTGGGCACGTGTTGTGCGCTAGTTTGGGATGGCAAAGGACAGATCCAGCAGCTTGAATCCATGTCTGCGGTGCAGGGCCCAAACCATCTGGTTCTCTGTGAGGACAACAGAGCCCAGATGCTGCTCCCTGAGCTGGCTGCGCGAGCGCTGCGTTATGATATGGCACGTGCTTTCTGCAAACAGCAGCCGTAACCCCTGTGCCTGCTGCCCTTAGGTCGTACAGCTGCCTGCCCATGATGCATGAGAAACCCTGTGTGTACGTGTGGAGCTACTGGGAGGATCACACCTGGAGACTCTGCATTTCCAACTGGATCGTCAAGCTGGCAGAGCGCCTGGTAGCATGTTCAGGGTTTCTGTCTGCAGCGTGGTCCCTTCTGGTGTTCTTTATGTGTAGCACATGCAGTTGCTCTATGGGATGTTTGCCTTAAACATCCTCACCCCTTATGTGAGTCCACCTCTCACAGGGCTCAGTCCCACCTGCCTTTTAGACGTGGGGTATGGCAGTGAGTGCAGAGCCACTGCCTGTCCTGTGCTGCAGCCTAGCAGTGTCTCTGGAGGTGTGAGTGTCACCATCTCTGTGACAAAAAGCTCTTCTGATACCAGTCCTGAGTTGCATTTGCTCTGGGAAGATGCTGCTGCAAACAGACTCTCTGCCTCAGGCTGTCATCAGGGGGGTGCAGTCTCTTCCCAGGGCCTCGTTTTTCCCTTTTGGGCTTCGAAATCCAAAAGCAGAGCTTGCCAGTGTGTTTCAGTTGCTGTTCAAGGACCGAGACACAAAGTTTTGTAACAACCAGTGTTAAGGTTATCCCCAGGCTCCAGAGAATCCCTGGCAGCACAGTGCTGACCTGCAGCACTCTCATGATCTCCAGCTCTGCAGAAGGGCACAAGCCATTGTGGTGAATGCATCCTTGCAATGTTTCACTCTGACCCTGCAGCCAGGCTCAAGCTCTCTGAATGTTGTGCTTTCCCCACAGGAGCAGGGGCTGTATGACGTGGAGAAGCTTGTGAGAAGGCCAAAGGCTAAAGCAGAAGAACGGCTCAGAGAGGTGCTGGAGGAATTTGTAGCTGGATGCAGGTTAGCACGTCCCTGATTTCCTAAGGTTTCTTGTTTTAAAGTTAGGAGGTTGTATCATGTTCTGTCTGGGCTGTGCACAGCCTGCTCTCTCATCCTTTTGAGACAGATGAGTGGAAGGAAACTAGGACAACCTGGGGCAAGGATTCTGTAGCTCTTCAAGCCTGGAGAGGAGACTCCAGTCCTGGGTAACACAGGGGTCACAGGCTGCAGCCTCGATGTTCCTGGGCTCTTGGGTGTTTCCTAAACGTTAGGACATTTCCTTCACTCTCTTCAGTTGCACAGACAAGAGACTAGTGTTTCAGTCACTGTGATGGCACAGTAGGGTCCGATACACATTTCAGTCCGCAGCCTTGTCATGGTGACAGTAGAGAGGGATCCTCAGGTGCTGAGCAGTCCCCAGTGTACCTTCCGAATCAAAAAGCTTGCAGAAGAGAGGGCATTGCAGAGAGAGGGCTTTCTGATGCATTCAGATTAGTACCAGGGATTTGGAGCTTTGTTGTGTGAGCTGTGCTCTGCCTGGTGGGTGCAAGGGGTGCAGAGCCCGTGCTGCTTTTCTCATTGCAGGCAATATTCACTCAGCGCAGAGAGAAAAACAATGGCACATCCAAACAACCTTGACAGATGTCGGACAAAGTACCTGATGCGCAACATCGTAAGCTATGGGATGTTGTGCCCTGATGCCATCCTTCCTCTCCTGTGGAGCACATGTGGTTGAGCACATGCGTGTTGGTGGAGGCCTTTTGGTGCAGGCTATTTCTGCGGGCAGATTTGGGGGAGCTCACTGAGACCCACTGCCCCTGGAAACTCAGCCCATAGGCTGGGTACCCATTCAGCAGATCTACAACAGCCATCCGTGTGCCTGTCCCTGGAGAGAGCAACATCTAGGTGCTCATAATCCTGCAGACAAGGCCAGCTAGCTGAATGAGAGCACAGCTATGTGCCTTCCATCACAGCACAGCAGGGCACGGCTATAGTCATAGTCCTCATCAGACTACAAAGCTTTGAAAGACTCACCAAAATGCAATGAAAGCTGCAGGAAATAACATTTTAGGCATGTCTGGGTCCTAGCTCCCTTCCCTCTGCCTACCCAGGCATTGTCACCTGAGCTATGGTGGAGGTGCTCTGCTAAGTCTGAGTCTCTTTTTCAGAGAGACCCAGCCCAAGAGATGAATTTTCTGGCCTTGTCAGTCCATACTGGGTTTGCACCCCGAATTCCTTCCGGATTTCATGATTAGTTTTAATTAATCACAAAGTCTCTTCTCAGATGTGTACACTATCAACTGATAGACATGAAAGCCCAGCCCCATCTTCTAGTTCCCTACATTGCCCCAAGCTGCTCCTTGTGCAAAGGTTCCCCCAGGCACTATCTGGAGCCCTAGACCACCAGCTTCTGAAATGTTATACATCATTCTGCCCCAAATGACACAAAAGCTCATGGACTCTGTTCCTGGCTGGTATTGGCAGAACTGATGAGTTACTGGAGTCTCCAGTTCTTGGCACCCATCACTAAGTGGCTCATGACAGGTTCATGGAGGTTTGCTCTCAGCAGCTGGGGAGTGAGCTGTGGTGGAGGTTGGGGTGCGATGGGACAGGATGGAGGCCATCAGCACATGGGTGCCCCTGCAGAGCCCCTCTGAGGGGTGCCAGCCTGGCACACCTGTGTCATGGCCGGGCCTGTGACGCTGTGCTCTCTGTTCAGATCCTGTGTGCAAAGCAGGGGCTCCGCATCAGGCGGCGGCTGACTCGAACCAATGTCAAGGAGAAGGTTAAGGAGACAAGGAAGATCCTGGCAAAGCTATGCTTCATGGCTGAAGAGGTACGGCTGCTCCCACAGCACCTCGTTTCCAAGCACGGGCAAGGAAGGGGCAGTGGGCTGGCTGCCGGGGCTCTCGCTAGCCTGAGTTGGGGCCTTTCCTCTGCTGTCTGTCTTTGCTGTGTAAAATCCCAAGTTCCATCTGCTGGAAGTTTCATGTAACGGCTCTTATGAGGGATGAGGCTTGGCAGCTTTGGAGGGCTGTTGGTGACAGAGCAGGGGTCCAAGCAGCTCAGCGGTGGGTTGGAGGCAGAGCCGGGCCAGCTCCAGGGCTGTGCCTGGGCAAACAGCCTGTGCTGCCTGCGTGCCCACCAGGGACTGACCCTGGACACTCTCTGCAAATTCAAACTTGCATTGAAATGAGATCTCTCATCCATAGCAGAGACTCTCCATTTTCAGAGTTTCACTGGCTCTATTTTCAGTAACTCCTGAAAATCAGTGTGTTTGTCCAGTGTAAACCAGAACACGATGTTTGCTGGAGTGAGCAGATGTTGCAGTTCGGAGAATTCTTTCACCAAGTGATGTCAAATCATTTTCACACCTTTAGCTATGTGAGGGTAGACTTTAGCATGACCAAGACGTCACCCCTCACACCACCAGGAGGAGAAGCTGTCCTCGGGATCCAGCTTCACAGACTGGCTGCAGCTGGTCCCCCTGACAGAGAGGAAGCTCCTCCTGTTTTGCTCCCTGCCTTTGGGTGGGAATATTACTGTCAGTCCTGCACGTACCCTTGCCACTTTTAGTCTGTGCTTGGGGGCTGGTGGTCTTTGGATCAGTAATAAATTGTTTCAGCTACTTGTGTACTGAAAAATTGCAAGTACAAGTGTCAGGTACAAATACAAACACTAATGGCAAGGAAACTGAGATGGGAAGAAAACTTAGGTTAGAGTTTAAAAGAAGTCATTGCTTCCATCCGTGTGTTTGCTTATTGCAAGTCCTGCTCTCAACCCGAACCGCAGCTTTGTGCTGGGCACTCTTGTTGCTGGGATGGCAGCTGATGGGGTTCCTTCCCACGGATCAGCATTCGGGCTCCTGTCAAAGGCATGGGGTAAAATGCCACTTTTTCAGTCTTGTGGGCACTCCCTCTCCCCAACATGGTGGGGGCTGAGTGCATCCTGCTGGTGTTCACAATGGAAAACAAGGCCTTTTCTTCCCTCTAAGAAACCTGCAGAGCTGTATTGTGGGGCTGAGACTTGCTGAAGCCTGTGTCCAGTGTTAGGGCCTTCATTTGCATCTCCAAAGTGCCCTGCAGCCGTCCGTCCCTGCTGTGAGGAGATGAAGCTTTCACTGTGTCAGTGGATGGAGGACAAGATATGTGCTGTTCCTCTGCTGTGACATTCCTGTCTTTCCTCCCTCCAGCCCCAGTGCACCCTCCCTGATGTACTCGTCTGGATGCTCTGCAACAACAGGCGTGTGGCGTATGCAAGGATTCCTGCGCAGAACATTCTCTACTCGGTAGTCGAAGAGGAGAAAGGCAAGGACTGTGCAAAGATCCAGACTGTCTTTATGAAGGTAGGGTTTATACCAAAACAGTGTGCTCTTGCTTCGCACTGCGTCTCCCTCCTTGCTTCCAGCTCTCCTTAATGAAATCTAGGAGTTCACAAGGAAACGAAGCTCTTGCTCCACCACTGCCTTTTGCCTCTGTCAGTGTGGTACTCTGTCTCCTGTGCTTTTTGGTCGGTCACTGACTGATGGTGATCATTTTGTCTGAAGGGGGCATGGCTGACATGGGAAACCTGCTAAACCTCCTGTGCTTTCAGGTCCCTGGCTTACACACCGGTGAGATCTTTGCCAAACTGGAAATCTACATGTGGCTTGGGATAAAGAAATACGCAAAGAACTGTTTGGTGGAGCTGCCTGAGGAGTTCAAGTACCTCTCTGAGAGTGGACAGGAGGTAGCCCAGCTCTCGGCGTACAGTCCCCCCAGCCGTCTCAGCAGGGATGGTGAGTGCAGATGCCACTTTTCAATGGCTTAACTGAGAGCAGAGAGGTGAGAGGTCCTGACCCAGAGTCAGTGTCTGATTATTTCCACACCATCTCCAAGGCATGACTGGGACAGGCAGGTCCAGTTTGCTCTCATGAGGATGCATTTGCACCGTCAGAGCTGGAGCAGGAGGCAGGATGGGTGCTTCATAGGCACCGAATGAGGCATGAGGCTTCATAGGCAATGGGCTTGAGTCTGCCCCTTTGCTGAGGCTTGGTGGTGCTCCCCTACAACAGATGCTCACAGCAGATCACTGCACATTTCACATGTCTTGTCCTTCCGAGAGGTGTTTGGGGAGTCCACTGACCTTGTCTTGCTTGGCCAAACCTTTTGACGTGTGCTGGTCTTCTGAGAACCACAGTGAATGCCCCTAGAAGTGGTACCCATTCCTTACCCATGTGCCCACTCCTATCTAGGGCTGGCCCTATTCTTCATGCATTTTTTGACCTCATACAGGGCTGGACTGGGGAACTGGGACCTCTCTTCTCTTTCTTTTACCAGATTTCAGCTATTTCCAACTCCGAGCCCATCTGTATCAGGCTCGGGGAATCCTCCCTGCAGATGACAATGGCCTTTCAGATCCATTTGCAAGAGTGGTGTTTTCAACTCATTGCCAAACCACAAGGGTGAGACTACTTTAACTCTTGCTTCTGCCATCTTGGGGACTTGGGGAGAGAAAAATCATCATGTCCTCACTGACATGTTGAAGGCCAGTGCTGTGGCAGTCCTCCTGGAAATTTTGTAACTCCAGGCATGAGGTATCTGTGGGCTCTGAGCAGTGTGACTAGAACATTTGACAAAACATATATATCATTGAACATGGTCTCAAAGTTTGATTGGCGTGTGTTAGTTGGCCCCAAGTTTCACGCTTTTACCATCTCCCCTCCTGCCGGGTGCCAGCAGCACGTGGCTACGTGACAGAGGGGATCAACCTGTGTGTCCTCACTCTCTTTACAAAGTGCACGTGGTTTGTTTCCACTGGCTGTGATGCGCTCAGGCCTCCTGTCTCTCTGTGCAGATGCTGGAGGAGACACTGAGCCCCATGTGGAATGAACTACTTCTGTTCAACCAGCTCGTTATTGATGGGAAAAAAGAGGAGTTGAAAACAGAGACCCCTATCATTATAATCAACCTTTTCAGCCACAATAAATTTGTAAGTATGGCCATGCTGCCCTCCTGCTGTAGAAGGCAGAGGAGATCTGTGTGGGTGCTGAGAGCAGGCTCTTAGGAGCCACACACCTGTTTGGTTTCCATGACTCAGCTTGATCCTAGTCCACTGGTGGCAGTGAGTCCTGGGGGCCGAGGCTGAGACTTTCTGCAGACTTCTGCTATGAACTGGGGTGAAGGTGCTGGCTGCAGTGTGCAGATGGCTCAGAGATGCCCTGAGCCAGGTCCTGATGAGTGCTCGGTGGATCTGGGATCGCAGAGGGCTCATGGGGGAGATGATGTAGCTCTTAGGGCTGTTCCTTCTTCTCTGTCCCTCAGGAGTCATCTTCCATTGTTCCTCAGACCTCCCTTTTCTGTCTTCATTAGTACCTTGAAGTCACACTCCTGGCGCTTTTTTATCGGAAGGGGAATAGCATAACTTGCACCAGATTCTCCTGTGTAGCTCAGCAGCTTTCCTGGGTCCCAGTACGAGACAGACATTGACATACTGGAGTGAGTCCAGAGGAGGCCACCAAGATGACTGGGGTTGGAGCACAGGACAGAATGAGGAGAGGTGGAGAGCTGGGTATATTCAGCCTGGAGAAGATGAGGCAAAGGCAGTGGCTTATTGCTGCCTGCAGATGACGGATGGGAGAGGGTAAAAAAGGTGGAGTCAGACTTCTCTTGGAGGCACCTGGGGCAGGATGACAAGCAATGAACACAAGCTGGAACAAGAAAAAATTTCAGCTTGCTGTAAGGAAGTAATTTTTACCCAGAGGGAGTTGAAATGCTGGGCCTGGAGCTCAGAGAGCTTGTGGGATCTCTCCATCCTTGGAGACATTCAAACCCTGGCTGGAAGAGACCCAGATCTAGCTTTGATGTTTTCTGGTGCACAGTCCCAGGCTCTCTGCCCAGTTCTGCATGGAGATGGACTGGGAGTTAAGAGGATTTGCTGCAGGTGTGTCTCTTCTACTCGTAGCTCCGGATGGAGCAAAGGAAATCAAAGCAGAGGATGCCAAGCAGTCTTGTGCTGTCCCAGATTGGCTGGAATTAGTCTTTTCTCTGAGGTGGTGAGATAACAGAGGGATACTTTGACCCATTCCCTCCTTTCCCGCAGGGCTCCCCTGAATTTCTCGGCCAGGCCTTTGCTGTCCCACAGGTGAAGCTGGTTGATGAGCCGTACACCAAACCTGCCCTGCAGTTCTTCGATTTCTATAAAGGCACCAAAGCAGCGGGAGAGCTCATTGCCACTTTTGAGCTGATTGAGCTGGATTACAGTGGCTATTTGGAGGTAATGGGCTTGTAGGAAGCTGCACATGGTTGCCAGCTCTCTGGGGAGAGATGTGTGGGTGAGGAGCTGGTTGCATAAGGCCCACCAGAGGATTCACTGTTGAAAGCCACATCTGTCTTTCAACTGAATGGAGGCTGCAGGGACAGAGCCTGTGAGCACAGATCAAGAGGGGAGGGAGAGGGGGCATGGCATGGAGCAAGAATGGCTTTTATTGCTTGGTGTACCCTGGCTCCACCTGTTCAGCCATCAGTGCCTGAAGATGTGGAGCCCAAGGAGCCTGACCACCTGGGAGACCCCCGTGATGGACGGTTCATCATCCCTGAAGGCATCCGCCCGGTGCTGAAGGAGTTTCGCATAGAGGTACGCTGCCTTCTACTGGGCTGGCTCCCCACTGGGCTGTGCCAGGTGGACAGCACAGCTGGTCTGTGCAGACGGCAGGGCTTGAAGAGGGAGTTTGGTTTGGAGCTCAAAGGTGCTTTTGAGGCCTGAGCAGATGCCAGAAATGGAGGTACTTGAGGGAGAAACCATCTCAGCAGTTTAACGGCCAGAGCTGTTGGATGGCTGGGTTGGCAGAGTGCCCTCATGCCTCCCTTGAAGGAGGTGGCGGTATCAGACAGGGTTGCAGGCTACATGGCCTTGCCATGCCTGGCATGTCTCAAGCAGCCCAGTGGCTTTGTGTTGTGCTTCAGATCCTGTTCTGGGGCCTGCGAGACCTGAAGCGGGTGAACTTGTTCGAGGTGGATCAGCCCCAGGTGATCATTGAATGTGCTGGCAAGAAGGTGGAGTCGGAGGTGATCGTGACCTACAAAGAGAACCCCAACTTCACCGAGCTGGTCAAATACATGGATGTGGTGAGTGGGAAGGGGTCCCTGCCATGCCAGAGTGCACCGTGGCTGTCCTGCACCTGGGCACTGCCTGTCTGCATGGGGCAAGCTAATAGGAGGGGAGCTGCCCCTGGGGTTTTGCTCTCTGGTGGCCACATGGTTTAGCTGCAGATTAAAAACCTTTGTTAAATTGCCCACCAAGAGCAGTCTCAACCATTGCCTGTCACTGCAAAGCTTTGGTTTTTGGACAGAGCTGTGAGGTGCCATCAGACCTCCCTGCCGTGTGGTGGGGCTGCCACGGGTATTGCCCTATACACAATTCTTTTGCAGGAGCTCCCAGAGCAGGTCTACTTTCACCCTCCCCTCAGCATCTTTGTGGTGGAAAAGCGGGCATTTGGGCACACTGTGCTGGTGGGTACCCATGTTGTGTCCGATGTGATGAAATTCTCTCCCAGAGAGCTGGAGGAGGAACCAGAAGACATGCCTAAAGGTGAGATGATTGGTGAGGTTCCCATGGAGGCAGTAGGCAGGTTCTGCCAGTGGCAGAGATCCCTGTCCCTTCTCCTCCTGCTAGCCAGGCAGCAAAGTCCTCTCCCGAGACCCATATGCCCAGCAAAAGCACAGCATGGGGTGGGTTGGGGTTGGAAGCATGTCATGATCCTAGTGTGTAGCACTCAGCTCCAGACTGGGGCTTTGGGAGCAGCAGCAGCAAAACGATGGTGTGCTGTGTAAGGGCTGGCATCCCCCTTTGGGGATGGCAAGGGGCAATTTAAAGGATAACAGGGAGGGTTTTCCTGTGGAAGAACAACTGCCCAAAAAGTAGGAAGCAGTAGGCAGAAGTAAATGCTTGGAAACATGAAGCACTTTCTCTTCATCTCAGCTCGGAAAGTCTCATCCCAGCGTCTTCCCTCTCAGACTGTGGTAAACATTGGCCTGGCAGGTGGTGACCCAGGTCCCAGCACTCACCCCCTGAGTCTTGTGAAGGTGAGTGATTTGTAGGGCCTAGCAAATTTTGAAGTTTGGAAAGCCAAACTGAAGGTTGCAAATGAAAAAGAAAGTTTAGAAGTTCAGAGTTAGGTTTCAGCCACCGGGTTTTGCTCTGGACCCAAACACTCCTCTTTCCTGACTGTTCATCGCACTGCTGAGTGCCTGGGCTCTGGCACAGGGAGCAGAGCTGTGTTGCCTTGTGCCTTGAAAACTGCTGGTTTTGTAGCAAAGCACAAACCTGGGGCTACAGGTAGCTTTACACCTTCTCTGCTCTGCCTGAAAGCTCTGCCTCTGCCAGAGTCTTCTGGGGCTCTAGAGTAGGGTACGAATGTGTCCTGGGTGGTTGTTTCCTCCCTCTGAACTCTTTTCTCTGTTCTTGTAAGTCTCCTTTGAAGAAAATTCCTATCAATAAGCTTGTAAAGAAGGAAGATGAATATGAAGAGGAAAAACCAGAGCTGGAAGAACTGGATTGGTGGTCCAAGTACTACGAGTCCCTGAAGGAGCTGTACAACCAGGTAATCTTTTGTGACAGCTGCCAGCAGAGGGGCAAGTGGCTGCTTGAGGAACAGGTTTTCAACAGCACTGAGTGTCATAGGAGTCCCCCTGGTATGGATCTGCAGGAAGATTTGAGCATTTGTGTGTCAAACATACTTATGGTGGCCAGGTATCAAGCATCTACCAGGTGGACTGAATTCAGCAGGCAATGGATGTTGAAACGTCACTGAGGTGAGGGTGCTCAAGTGGTTTGGAGACTTTGACTGGACTTTTGTTGAGGCACTCCTGAAAATTTGACATTGCCAATTTTAGCTGCAATGCAGGGGCTTTCGTGCTGCTTACTCTCTGTCCTGGCTGTCTTCCCAGAATGTGCTATTGGAGCAAGTCTGCCCCAAATTTCCTTCCTTGTCTGTGTCCCTTAAATCCCAATCAAAAACGCCAGCAGGAAGCTCTGGGGAGAAGAGGCCATTAATGCACTTACCGGATACCCTGCTGCAATGATTTTAATCCTAAATGATCTCAGGCTAGATATTACTGACTCTGCTATCAGGAAAGCTTTGACAGTGTCCTATGCTTGGATGGAGAAGCTTTTGCTGTCAGGGATGTGGGTTACAGCTTGTGTGTGTTTCAGACACGCAGTGATGAGGAAGATGCTGAGAATGATGACCTGAATGATGCAGGTGAGTCCTCCAGCAATATCCAGCTCTTCTGTGGGGACAACCAGGACTTACACCATCCCAGAGGGTGCTGGACTTGTGGGAATGGGGTCTGAGCAGGCAACAGCTTTGCAGCATTCAGCAAAAACAACGCAAGGGAACAGGGACAGGAAACATTGGCAAGGGCTAACAAGGGCTATTTCAGGTTGAAAACACCACCCTTGCCTCAGAAAAGTTTGAAAAACTGTGTTGAAGCAAGAGCCTTCCTGAGTGAGCAAAAACCTGCTGGAAAACCAGCTGCAAGGGTTTGTCAGGGTGAGAACAGGAAGCAAAAGTGGGATGGAGAGAGAGGCAAAACTGTCCAGGAGCTGGGCATTGCTCTGTGCATGTGGGATTCTCACCTCAGGCACAGGATTCACTCCGAGGTAATAGAAAGACAGAAATAGTAAACAGAAGATCTGAGAACAGTGTTACAGCTGTAGGCTCAGGTTTGTGGAGGTGTAAGCAGCTACTCACCTAGTAATGACCTGGGGAGGTGAGACAATGAGTATAGAAATGATGTAAATCCATTTAAGGAGAGAGCTGGAGGATACCTGCATGCCATTAGTGCTCAAGGGATCATCTGGGGTCTTTGGGAAATGAGGCAAGGATGCACCCTCTCTGTCCTCGGGTTGCTGGTGCCCCAGAGAAAGGTCTAGCTGTGCTCTCTCCAAGCACAGCTGCCTGTGCTCAAAGTGGTACTTATGCTTCAGTTAGACATCCACCCAAAACAGCAGTCCATCAAATAAGGATCCATCCAAAGAAGAGGATTAGCTCTCATTTGTGCCTTTGCTGACAGCACCTGTGGGCTGGTCCAGCCGCCTCCCTCCATTTGGTCTCTGCCCACTTCCTTCTTAAACATTGGCCATGCAGGCAGGCAAGTCTGTGCCAATTTTTGTCCCCCTCCACCTGCCCAGCCATGTCTTTCTGGGAAACCTCAGATGCCATAAGGACACTTGTCACAGATAGCGATAGCTCCAGTTACCCTGATGCAAGTCAAAGCCCTGGGAGAAAGCAAAGGTGTTTCTGGGGTCATTTAATGGGCAGAACTTGAGATGCTGGGAAAGCTCAGAGCATTTCCTAATCTCCTGTTGCCATTTCTAGATGGGGGGAATTTAAACATATCCTCCATTGACATGGAAGCAGAAGATGAGGCTGTAATTGAAGCTGAACCTGCTCGACCCAAGAGAAAACTCATCGCCACCCTTCAGGTGATTATTGGGGTGACAGATCTGGCCCCTCTTCCATCTTGCAATGTGTGCTGGGCCTCCATTGCTGCTGGGCTTTGTAACAGCTAGTGAGACCCTGGAGCCAAGCCAGGATGTGTGTGCACATCTGAGGATGGACCTGGGGGCATAAGGGAAAACCATAATACCCTGCAGTGACTAATACAGGGGTAAGGTAGGACCAGGTGAAATGGTTGAAGCAGGGAAAGGATGGTCTTTCTGCCTCTCCTCCCCTTTAAGATGGCATGACAAGGCCCCAGATGACTTTCTGCTTATTTCAGATCTACAACTCTGAGCTGGAAAATGAGTTCGGTAATTTTGAAGACTGGCTGTGTATTTTCCCTCTTCATCATGGCAAAGCAAATGAGGATGAAGACGGAAATGAGGATGAACATTTTGTGGGGAAGTACAAGGTACTGTATCATTTGAATGACATTTGTGCTGCATGTGGAAGAAAATCCTTAGGACAACCTGTATTTCAGGCCATGCCAACACCAGCAAAGCCTTGGAGAGTACATGTGTGTGCAAGGTGATGTGAGGCCATGGTGCAGCATGGATGGGGTACTGTTGGTGCCTGTTGAAGCAATTGTGTACTGTGGTTCTTTGTTAGTTGACAAATGCACCTGATTTAGATTTTTTTTTTTTTTGCTCTGGCAAGGAGAAAGCATGAAGCATAAAGGACTCTTATTCTGGTTGGGGCCTCTGAGTATGTTCAGTATGCAAATAAGTGTTAGTGAGCGTCACTGGTTTTTAAATTAGTAAAGCTTGTTTAAAAGAGGCATCACTGTCCCACCCAGGAGCTCTTGAAGACTCTGAAATGTCAGAATTGTAGAAGTTGATTTAAGAAGGTCCCTAGAAAATCTTTGCTGCCTCCTGCCTTTGGCAGTCCAAGATGTTCAGATCTTCTGGCATTGGCAGTGATCTGACAGCCTGCACCCTAACTTGCAAACAGGGACTGCCTGGACCACCTGGACATGGCAGTGCCTTTGGAAGGGACTGTCACCTTGGACACAGAGTGTCCGTGGTCTGCATGGGGCAATGGGTCTAATTTTCCAGTTGGCAGGTGACACTGGTGTTGGTGGCTCCAATCCTATTCTCTTTAGTATCTAGTTGTTACTTGTGAGGTCTTTTCTGCAGGGCTCCTTCTATGTCTACCCTACTGAGGAAGCCAGCATGGAGCCCAGGGTCTCTCAGGGCATTCCAAGGAACAGGCCCATCAAGGTTCTTGTAAGAGTTTACATCGTTAAGGTAAGCCTCTGATGGTGGTGGCAGTAATGCTTGAAAGTCTTTCCCTCCCTATGGGCCTCCTGCCATTCTCTCCCTCTCCTCCTTACACAAGAGCAGTGGCACTTGTGAAAAGCTCGATGCTGGCTTGAAGGCTCTGCAAGCCCAGTGGAAGTCAGCTACATCTTGTCCAAGGGGAGCCTTCCATGCTTTGTAGCTTCAGGAGGTGCTAAAATTAACAGATGAGCATTTCTTGGCTCCTCTCATCTGTCTTGAGACAGTGAGCAAGTAGGTGGGCCAACAGCTGGAGACATTGGTGGCTTGTTGAGTAGGCAGCCACTGGAGGGGCTCTGACCAGCAGGCTTGGGTGGTCTCAGTGTTCCTTGTGCAGGTTGCTCTCTGCAGCTGGTATATGGCAGTACCTCTTGTGTATTCCAGGCTACGAACCTGTCTCCAGCAGACCCCAATGGCAAGGCAGACCCCTATGTGGTGGTGACTGTGGGGCAGGCGCAGAAGGACACAAAGGAGCGATACATCCCAAAGCAGCTCAATCCTGTGTTTGGAGAGTATGCAGGAAGTTTTCATCTAGCAGGTTTAATAGGAATAGTGCAAACCTGGGGCTCGGGCTGTGGCCCAGCACGTGAGGTTTTCTGTTCCTTTCTGCTGGAGTATCTTATGCTGTAACAAAAAGGTCCCAGGCAAGTCTCTTGCCCCTGGGTTAGGAGGTGAGCACTCCCAAGGGCTTGATTTAACAGACAAAGTATTGAGCCAAGCAGCAGCAGATCACCGGAGAGCTTTTTCCCTAGCTTCGGGACCTTATCCAAGGGCATCCATTCCTGGAAAAGTAACTCCTTTGAACATGCATACTGAAAACTGCACACACTGGACTTATGGAGAATCGAGCTCTATGAGAGGACTTTGTGTTGTCAAATACAGTTCTTTAATGTGTAGGATGTTCAAGGCAGGGTATGTGTTTCATTTCCATCCTCTTTGCTAACTGCATTCTCCCTGTCTGATTCTGTCCAGAGTTGTGGAGCTGACAGTCTCCTTTCCCATGGAATCAGAACTCACTGTGGCAATATTCGACCATGATTTGGTGGGATCTGATGATCTGATTGGGGAGACCAAGATTGACTTGGAGAATCGATTCTACAGCAAGCATAGGGCTAACTGTGGAGTGGCCTTTCAGTATGACGTGTGGGTACCAGTGTGATACATTAGGGCCATGAGATGTGTTCTTTTCACCTACTGTTTGTATGGGTAACAGAGCACCTCCAGTTTTGCAGGACTAAACTGGCGTCCACAGTATTCTCTGAGCAGGTGCCCCACAGATTTGCTACAAGTTACATGGATAACTCCATGTCCTTTTGACTCCTACCAGCTTCCTCTGATAGCTCTAATTCCTACTGTGGACTAATATATTTTGCATATTGTAGCAAAAAATTTCTTTAATATTTTCATATTGGTGTTCTGTGAGAAAAACACTCACTTGATGTAATTTTAACCTCTTTCAGAAAGTATGGGGGTTTCTTTGGCAGTAGCTAATTCTGTGAGCAGCAAAACTCATGATTTCTGATTTCTTTTGATCTCGTTCAGTATTGATTCTCTGATATCTTTGGCTAGTTTTCTGTTATCTTCTCCTACTGGAGAATTAGCTGTGGGTTGAGACCCCAGCACTGCTAAAACCTCTCTCCCACTTAGGAGCTGCAGCTGGGATTGCTCCTGCTGCTGCTCTGATTCTATGGAGTGCAAGCCTGGCCTTTTTAGGGGGGAGGAGAATTGCTAAGCTTTTCACTTTTTAAGCTTTTATGTGCCTATGGTTTTCCCAGTGAGAATCTGAGCAGGGATCTGGTGGCATAGCCTGTGCCATGGGGAAGGCAGGGCATTGCACAGCCTAGGGAAAAAAACCTGTTGTGTCTAAGGTGAAGATGTTTTCGATGTTCTCCCTTTTGTGCAGAAATGGCTACAACATGTGGCGAGATGCTTTCAAGCCCACACAGATCTTGGATAGTTTATGCAAGAAAAACTCACTCCCTGCAGCAGAGTATAGACGGGAGGAGGTCAAAGTGGACAATAAAATATTCAAGATCCCTCCGGAAGCTTTTCCTGAAGGTACAGAGGGCTTGGAGAATAATGACTGTTCCCTTAAACAGCTGCCTGTGCTCAGCAGTGCACGTGCTGGTGCCCTGAAGTGTCCAGGCTGGCTGCCCCTGCTCTGTGCCCTGCATGGCCCAGCTTTCTGGGTTACTCTGGGGAGAAGATGTGATCCAGGCCATTAGGTCCCAAAGTGGCTTCTCAGGCAGTGGGTGGAGCATAGTAAACCCGCTTGCCCAGCAGTGATGTGCATGGAGGTTTGGTGGCTTGTGCGGGCAGAGAAAGGTGTAGCTTATACTGGTGCCAGCTGACACCAGCACAAAGCTGTACCTCCCTCTGCTTGTCACCACTGTCAGAAAGATACTGGCATCCTTTCTTTGTTTTTTTGTTTTTGGTTTGCTGGTGTTTTGGGGTTTTTTTCAGTCTCCTTTCCCGTTTGGCATTGACCTTCAGGGATGCTCTCTGATTTAGGTGCCGTGGGTCACTCCCCACTGCTTCTCACTACTGTTGATTTCCTCCTTGTGGGTGGCTTCTGCTTCTCCTTTGCTCTTTTACTTTCCTCCTCACTGGCATTTTTCTTTCCTCCTCACTGGCATTACAAACCCTGAGCCAGGGCCACGGATGGCCAAGAACACAGCAACCTTTCATGCCCTCTGCCAGCAATGATGGAGAGCTTCCCTAAGCACAGGCCTGTCCCTGCTGTGCACATTCCCTCCAGTGGCCAGCACCTGTGCCATCAAATTCAGCCTGGAGGAAAGGATAGAGCAGATGTGGCCCACTTGTGGATGGCTGGGTTCTGCAAGGCAATGCTGTGTAGCCTGTAGGAAGGATGATCCCTGTGCCTGACCTGCCCAGAGAGGGGGCGCCTACAGATATGGCCAACTTTATCTTCTGCTCATTTCAGTGCTGCTGTTCCTCAGCTATCCACTGGCTTATGTCATGAAGAGGAAAGAAATTCTGCTCAGGAGAGGGCAAGGAGCCTCCAAAAGCTCCTTTCCCCTTTTCTCATGTCACTGGGTAGCTGGGAAGGGAGAAACAAAGTGCTCTCCTAGTGTTCCCCTGAGAGCTGGCTCTGGTTCAAATGTGGCTGTAGTTGGTACCCGTGAACTTCTGCTGTGCTCAGGGACGGCTTGGGATGGTTTTGGACTCAGACTGATCTCCAAATGTGCTTTCCATAAACCCAGGAGTGGGTGGGCTGTTGTGTCCTCAACTGTTGGTTTCTGCTTTTCTCCCCAATGGCAGGATGGTCTTGACCTGCCATTTGGCTTCACTCTGCCCAATTAGTCAATTAATGGAGTTAATGAGTTAATTAACAGATAGCACAGCTGTGTGTCACTGCCAAGTGACAAGCAGTGCTTCCCTGGAGCATTTCTATGTCAAAATCTCTCATCCATGGATCTGTTGGCACTACCACAGAGACATGGGGACTTATACTGCCCCAGAGAGTCACATCCTCCTCAGTGTCCCCTGGATCCTTTTCCCAGGGCCATAGTAAATTATTTTTTGTCCTTTTCCTCTTATTTCTCTTAGTGTGTTTGTCTTCCTGCCTACAGTTTTCCTCGTTACTGCAGCATACTAACTCATTCTCTTCATCCTTAACCTACTGCTTCTCCTCATTTTGTTTTTCTGGGGAGCTGCTTGTTTGCCTAGTCCATCACATTTCCTTACTTGTGCCTGTGACTAATGTCCTAATGTGGCTCTGACTAGCCAGATGCATTCACCTTCTACCTGGATGTGTCTGGCTGCAGAGGCATCTGTGAGGAACCAGAGAGGAGTGGCAGATGAGAACTGGTCAGTGGATGATGAACATAAGGCTTTGTACGTGCTGCAGCACTGGGAAGAGATGCCAGGATATGGGTACAAGCTGGTACCAGAGCATGTGGAAATCCGGTCCCTGTACAACCCCGAGAACCCTGGCCTTGTGCAGGTGAGTTGTGTTTCCTTGCCCAGCCTAGACATTGCTCTGGGGAAGGATCTTCGGGACAGTTAGCTCTCAGCTCCCTGGCTGGTCCCTGGTTGTCCTTTTGTCTCCTCATCATGGCATGAATCCCATGCGTTGCCCCTTCCTGGGTGGGTGGCTGGAACTGTGTCTGTGGATGGCCGGTCCTGCTAAGTGAGGACTGTTGGCCTTGGGTCCTTTGCTCAGATCCTCCCTCTGATCTCTCATGGTGCTTCTGAACACCCTTTCCTCAAGGGACCTCTATCCACTGAAGTTGTGGTCACAATGCTGGTGGCCTGGAGTCCTTCCTGTCTTCTCAGATCATGTAGCACTGCTCTGATGAGGATGCTGTGTGAGTGGCAAGGCGTCTGCTCTGCCTTCTGAGCCGTGCCACCGTGCACCACGGTGGGTAGTCTGTCTATCCCTGCCTCTTCCTCTGCTTCATCCTCTGTCACTGCTGCTTTTCTCCCCTGCAAGAGACCCTTTCTGCCCCCTTGGCACCTGCCCCCTGGGGCATGATGTAACTGCTGGTTGGAGGAAAAACATTCCTCCTCAGTTTTATGCAGTGCAGTGATCTGAGCTCAAGCATTTAAATGTCCTGCACTGAACATCTCCTATTCCCTTGGGTGCGGGAGGTCTGTAGCAAAGCAGAGTTCTGCAGTTACTCTGGCTTTATCAGCATTGGAAATGCATGTGAGAAGAGGAGGGTTAGACCTGCCATTTTTCAGTTTTCTTGGTTGCGCTGAAGTTTTACAACATCGTATGCTTCCTGTTAAGACAGAGGGACACATTTGCCTCTGAAATGAACTCAGTTCAGCCGAAAAGGTTTTTCTTGGGAGAAAAGTAGGGAGGGAAATAAGCAATTTTTGGTAGTTTTAATTTTTTCCCTGTCTGAAATCCAGTCACGTGTCACTCTGAAGTCCTGGGAATGGAGAGAGTCAAGCAGTGGCTTTCTGGTGAGAGCTCTCCTTGCAGGACCAAGGCCTTGCTCCTTGATGAGCTGGAGAGTGGTCTGTCTTTTGAAGTCTCTCTGCTGTCTTCTCTCATCAGGGCTCCTTGCACATGTGGATTGACATGTTTCCAAATGACGTCCCTGCACCACCGCCTGTCAATATCAAGCCGCGACTGCCCATCAGGTAGCACCCATGGGAGTGGGGCTGGGGCTGGTGGGCCTGGTGGGACATGCCAGAGTCCTGCAGCCCTCCTCTCTGCTTCAGCTCTGGCCATGGGATGGTCTCTTGCATCTATCAGTGATGTACTTTAACCTCATGAGGCATAAGCACTTCAGCTGCACGAGTGTTTGTGAAGGGCAGGGTTAATCTCTCTACAGCTGGACATGAAACCCAGGTCAGAGCTATTCATCTAGTTCTATTTTGGCTAGTGGACAGATGTCCTCTGAGTGCTTGGAGACATGAAGCTGAAGGAGGAGTTCTGCTCTTTTTGGTGATCTAATGGGGCTATTGAGATGGAGATTCTTCTCAGAGGTGCACATGAAAGGACAAGAGATAATGGACATGAGTTGCAGCAAGGAAAACTCCAACTGAATACAGGGAAAGCATACTCCCAGTAAGAGTGAAGCTACCCCAGCATAGGGACGGAGTGACCCAGAGAGGTGCTGGGCTATCCATCCCTAGAGATATTCATGCAGACAAGACCCTGAGCTAACTGATCTGCAATGAAGCTAGAGCAAGAGGTTGGAGCAGAGACTGCAGAGGTCCCTTCCTGCCTAAGCCTTTCTGTGCTCCCATGGCTAAGTGGTGCTTGGTGGGTTTCCCATACACCAGGGATGTACTTTGCAAAAGCTGCCTGTTTTGACTGTGGGTGTTACTCTTGTAGGGTTGTAGCCCCCCAGGAAGGGCTTTGTGCATGGCAGTGAGACTGCTGTGCTTGTCTAGAGGGGCCCTGGCAGGGGACCACAGTGTTAGGAGGATTCAAGTCCTCCTACTCTGCCCATGTAGGCTTCACCTGCCCTCCCAGGCACCAGGGGTGAGAGCATGTGTCTCACTCACCCCTATGTCCTTCCCACAGCTATGAGCTGCGTGTTATTATCTGGAACACGGAAGATGTGATCCTTGATGATGTCAACCCAGTAACAGGAGAGCCTTCCAGCGATATCTACGTGAAAAGGTCTGATGGAAGCCAGAGCCTGGCTGTCCTGCTGCCTGCCCTGCCCCACGCTCTCACCGCCTCCTCTGAACCTCTGCTCCTCCCTGCCTCAGCATGAGGTGCCCCACTCCAGTCCCCTAGAATGGACTGCTGTACCACCAAAGATGTTAGTCAGGTGTTGGTCTGGTTTGGCTCTTTGACTCTTCCTTTCCTGCTACTCCATGGGGTTCAGCCCCTCCACCCTTCTGCTCTGCCTTTGGGGTTGGCTGACAGGGAGTAGGAGTTTCATTTGAAACTGAGTTTCTGAGTTTCTCCTGCAGCTGGATAAAGGGTCTTGACCATGACAAGCAGGAGACGGATGTTCACTTTAACTCCTTGACCGGGGAGGGAAATTTCAACTGGAGGTTCATCTTCCGCTTCAACTATCTCCCAACTGAGAAGGAGATCACCTACAAGAAGAAGGACTCTGTCTTCTCCATGGAGGAATCAGAATTTCGGGAACCAGCTGTTCTGGTCCTCCAGGTCTGGGATTACGACAGGATTTCAGCTAATGACTTTCTAGGTATGGTGTAACCCGCTGGAGTTGGGGTGACCTGTCCCTCACCTTGCTGGAGTGTTAGAGTGTTTCTCCCAGGGCCCAGCTCTCTGAGAAGGGACACCAGGAGCATCAGATCAAGTTCTTCAGCTCAGCGGTTGCCTGGGCTGGTTTTTTCACACATGAGCTATAGGCAGGGCCTGGAGGTATGTGCCTCTCCTACACAGGCACATTGAGTGTGCATGCTTGTCCCAGGACCTTGCTGTCCTTTTTTAGGGCCTGTTACACCACAGGACTTCCAGGTTCTGCTTCCTCACAACCTTTCTGATAACCTTTCTCATTTTCCCTGCTGTCACTCAGATCTGCAGATCCCACAGACTTGCCCAAAGTGCAGCTTTCCCAGGAGCTTAAGTTGTGAGCACAGGAATTGGCAGCCTTTGTGAGACCATTTGCACTTGAGTTGTGGCATCCCATTGCTATGGGCTCAGAGCTCCCCAGTAACCAGACCTGCTGAGCTGGGCATGCAGCAGGATCTGGCGATGAAGCTGCGCTGGTGGTGATTCCACCCACACTATGCTAGCACAAGAACTGCTGCTTCTCTCCTGCTTCTGCTGTCATCCCTAAGTTTGTAGCACTCTGTTCAGCTGTCTCTCCCTTCTTTAAACTTTGGCCTCCCCATTAAAAAGCACCCGTTTTGCCCTGAAGTTTCTTGGGCAGGATAAAGCTGTCTTTATTCAGCAACCTTCCATGCTATATTTAAAGGGCTTTATCTCCATGAGGCAATTCCAATGGTGACTGGTTCAGCCATGCTACTTAGGCACTGAAGAAAGTGCTAGACAGCAAGCCCATCAATTCCCGGTATATACAATCTCAGAAACTTCTAGGCAGGAAGGGGATTCTGCAGTCTTTATTGCAACCTCCTGCTCCAAGTAGGGCTAGATGTAACGTGGGTCAGGTTGCTCAGAGCCTTGTCTGTGTGAGTTTTGTGTATCTCCAAGGATGGAGATCCCAGCACCCTTCTGGACCCCTTTTCCTGGCAGCGCCATCTTCATCATTCTCAATTTTTTTTTCACTTGCAGCAGCTTGTGTCTGTTGCCTTTCATGCTTTCATCATCCACTTCTGAGAAGAGTCTAGATCCATCTGCTCTATAGCTTCCTTTAGGCTGTGAGAGAGGCTGTAAGATTTCTACCTTGACCTCTCTTCTCTGGGCTCTCAGAGAATGGGTCCCTCAGCCCATCCTGCTATGGCACACACTGTAGCCTTGACCATCTCAGCCACTGCACTCTCTCTCGTTAGTTGACACCTTTCTTCTGTTGGGGCCCAAACCTGGACACAGTATCCAGATGCAGTCTCACTGAAGCTGAGCATAATGGCTATGCTTTTGCCAATACAGACCAGTACGTGATAAGACTGATTTGCTGCAAGGGCTCAGTGCCAGAGTGGGACAGGAGCTCCTTCCAAGGAGGACAGGGGTGCAAGGTCAAGCAGGGAAATGAACTGAGGCTGTTTCAGATATAAGACAGACTTGAAACCTTTAAAGCATTTATCAGATTTTATAATTTTTATTGACGTTTTCAGGAATGACAGGAGAAGAGGAGCTTGGACATGTGAGGAGAGCAGGGTGGGACATGGTGAAGGAGTGAAAATAACCACACACAAACCAAATTGGCCACATCAGAGACAGGACAAGACAAGACCTGAGGCTTCTGCTTTTTAGTCTCTAACTCTTTCTTATGCTGAGGTTCAGGTTCTCCACCTGTAAATGTGCAGGACTCTGCTAGATCATTGCAGCAGCTGGAACCTACTCATGGCGGTGGGAGTATGTCTGAGACAGAAAGCCAAATGATGTGTGGGGCTGACCTCAGGATTTCACCATTAGCTCTCCTCTTCATTGTACCTGCAGGCTCCATTGAGCTGAAGCTACATGACATGGTGCGGGCAGCCAAGAGCTCAGAGCATTGCACTGTCAAGATGGCCAAGGAGAATGCAACACCTCGCTTCTCCATCTTCCGAAACAAGCGCATGAGGGGCTGGTGGCCCTTCATCAAACTTAAAGAACAAGAAGATGATGAGAGAGAGGAGAGGGAGGACAAGCAGAAGAAGAAGAAAAAGAAGCGGAGCAGCTCAGTCAAACCAGAAGACATGGAGTTCACAGACCCCAGTGGGAACAAGTACCTCCTGACAGTAAGACAGGGTGTTGGCACAGGTTGGCAGGGTGTTGGTGAGCAGAGAGCCAGTGTTTTGCCTCTGCCTTGACATGGCAACCTGTCCTGCATGCACATAACCTACAGAGGCAGCAATGACCCAGCTGCCCAGGTCTTTGTGCACGGTCCTAGAGACTTGTCCCATCTGCTGCAACCCAGAAGTGCCAGCTGTGGTGGCATGCAGGGGGTGCCCAACTTCATGTCTTCCTCTGGGCTTCCCACAGAGTGGTGCTCAGTGAGAGGACCAAAGCAAGAAGCACATGGCTCACCATCAACCAGACAGGACAGCAGCAAAAGCTTGTCCTAGAGTCTCTGCCAGGTGCCAACTCTCCCAGGGCAGACTTGCTGCTGCTGGTCCTGCTGATGGACCATAGTTTGTTCCCAAGGGTGAGTTTTGTTCATTGCCAGCATGGGAGGCTACAGACAAATCCCAATAGCTGGGGAGTGCATTACAATACTGCATCTTGTCTCCAGAACACTTAGTTTCTGTCCAGACCACAGTTTCCTCTGGGTGCCGAAGTGAGAGACTCCGTAGCTAATGCCTAGAGGAAAGTTAATTGCTCTGAGAATTTGTAAGTGGAACTGGGAGAAAAAGGCCCAGTTCTGGCAGGGCTTGTGGCCAGCAGGCTGGTTTGTGAAGCAGCACGTGTGGCTGTGGCTAAGACATGTTCCCTCTCCAGGGTAAGGTGGAAGCGGAGCTCCAGCTGCTGACTGTGGAGGAGGCTGAGAAAAATCCTGTTGGTTTGGGCCGAAAAGAGCCTGAGCCCCTGGAAAAGCCCAAGTGAGTATCTATACCTTTAACAGGGGTGGACAGTGCCGTGTTTTCTGCAGCTGTTTGCCTGGGGACAGGGAGCATCTTGTCAGGAATGGGAGAGCAATCAATGAGGCCCTGGGCCGTGGGTCTGCAGGACTGGGGCTGCTGGGGCTTCTCAGAGCCCGGGTGGGTCCAGCAGGACTTGTGGCTGCAGCGTCTGGGCCAGGGCTGATCTTGGTGAGGTACTCAAGGCAGCTATGCCATAATATTTCTTGTAAAAAAGAGCAGCTCTATTTTAACCATGTGAAGGTGCCTCTTAGCCACATGGGTGCAGAACAGCTCTGTGGGGGTTGTCCTGAGGCTCAGGTGCTGTTGTCTCCAGCGCTTTCGCATGCGCCATAGTTATTGCAGCCTCTAGAGTGATCCTGTCTGGAAACAGCAGGAAGATCTGGCAGCCTATGAGGGTGGCAGAGCACCAAAGGAGAGGGGCCAATGTACTGCTCTGTGTGTTGAGCCCATGCTTATCTCTTCCTCCCTTCCTGTTGCAGTCGACCAAAAACTTCTTTCAACTGGTTTGTGAATCCCATGAAGACTTTTGTGTTCTTTATCTGGAAGCGGTACAAGAAATATATCATTGTGCTGTTCATTGTCGCTGTTCTGACCATCTTCCTGGTTCTTTTGGTCTACACCATGCCTGGATACATCAGTGAGAAGATCATCAATGGATAAATGCTTTCCAGCAGAGGACTACTCAAAGACAGGCATGACTGAAGGATTTGAAACTGGACCAGAAAGTTTAAGGAAACCTTGCAGGTGCAGAGGCAGCCTTCAGAGTGAGAGACTTGCAGAAGGGGCCTGTCTTTGGGGAGTAATATTTCATGCTAAGTACCCATGGATGCTAAGAAACCAAGTAACCAACCTACTAAATAAGACAAACTCCTTGAAGGGCAGTTACAGCTTTGGGAAAAAAATTGTTCTTTGTGGGACTGAGAGGGTGGGAAATCAGGATCTTTTCTGTGGGCTGTCCCCACAGACATGGCAGCTGAATCCAGCTATTGCCTTTGAGAGGGATTCTGGCAGAGATGGGGACATACAAGGGCCATCCATGCCCCAGCTTGACAGCACTTGGCACTTCCCAGGGCTTTGCCTGAAGAGTTCAAAACACATTGTACAGGGGGAAGGCAGGTCTGGTGTATGGTCCTGGTAGGTAGGAGGTCCCAGGAGGTAGGACCTGGAAGACCTTTGAATGGGGCTCCCCAGGGAAAAGAATGGCAGAGCCAAGGTAGCCATGAGCTTCCTGCCATGTCAAGAACACAGGAACAGCTCCTGGAGCTGGAGTCCTCCCTAAATGTGGTGGCACTCCCCAGGACATGTTCTTTCTGGTTGTCCCTCCTTACAAGCTGCTTAACAGCTTCTCCTGTAGGTGCTGGGTTGGGTTCAGGCTTGCTTCTAATTTCATTTTGGCTCTTTGTTTCCATAGGAATAAAAGCTCCTTGGCTGCTCTCTCCCATGCTGCTTGTGTTTTGTAGCTGCTTTCTGGAGTTGGGGACCAGCCTGCTGCAGGCAGTCCTTGCTGATGCCCCTTCGCCCTTCCTCCCAGATAGCACAGCACTGGGACATCAGCACCAATCAGTATTGTAGTGTTAAGCTGATGTAAATTAGATGAGACTTGTTCTCAGCATGGTCTCTGATGCCCCAGGGTTCCTGTCTTCTGCACAGAGAAGCCCTGACATGATCTGATCTCAAGTGGAGGTCCTTCAGCCTGAGTTTTTACAGGACAGATACCTTCTGAGGAGTCTCATTCTGGTGCAGAAGATGATGCTCAGAGGCACTGTTACATTTACAAAGAACTAACTGACAATGTTTTTTTATAGTGAGAGTGACCTCCTGATTGTCTTTTGAATGGGGCAGGAGCAGAGTAAGTTTTGGGGAGAAAACTAGCTGGGCAGGTCCAGGCAGGCAGCTCAGGAGCAGGTGAGGACTCTGGCTGAACCTGAAGCCAGGTGTGAGTGTGGGGCAGACACGGTGCTCCTGCAGGGGGGCTGCAGTTCTGCTGCTGGGCCCAGAATGGCAAAGGGGGTGCTCTCTCTCCCCCAGGGGGACCCTTGGGCTGCAGAGGGGAGCGAAGCAGCTGCAAAGGGCTCAGGTCACAAAGCACCTGCATGGGGCTGGAGCGGGGCCTTGGGGTGTGACAGTGTCACCCCAGCCTTCGCAAACGGTGCCCAGTGCATCCCAGCACACCTCAGCAGTGGTGGTCCGTGCCAGCAGGGTGAGTACCCCCCCCAGCGCACATCCCCAAGCACTCCTTGGCTCTTGCAGCCATCTCAGCTACATTTTCCACTGCACCATCAGGCTGGGGTTCCCTGCGACTCAAAGTCTCAGGCTTCCTCAAAATATTTCAGTTTATAACTGCAGGATTTGTGGCTGTGCTGCTCTGTGCCTGGGTGTGCTGGTGTGTGTCAGCGTGTGCACACTGCAGGGGGTGTGTGTGTCTCTTCGAGGTGCAGGTGTGCAAGTCGAGGGGCTCTCTCTTGCCCTCGCTGTTGGCGGCAGCGTGACCCCAACATTCCGCCCCCTGTCCCCTGCCCAGCCCCGGCGCCGCCGCGGCTCCTGCCGGCAGTTCCCCTTCCTGGTGTTCCCCAGCAGACCGTGGCGCGGCACCATGGCGGCCCTCATCTCGGTGTGCGACTTTGTGCAGCAGGCACAGGAGGACCTCAGCTCGCCCACCACCTCTGCCTTTGCCAGCCACATGCGCCGCTGCAAGGCCACTGTGAACAGCCTGGAGGAGGTGAGCAGGGGCGGGGGACTAGAGGGGTGCACTCCAAGGGCTTGGGGGGCCATCCCTGTCGTGGTCCCGCGGGATCTGCACCCCAGTTCAGGCAGCACCATATCATTTGTCCTCATGGGTGGTGACATGAGTGGTGCGAGAGTCATTGAGTGTTTGCAAAACACTCAAAGATTTGGTGAAGGCTTGTGATGGGTCGTGGTGGCTGGGTGACAGGCATCAGTCAGTGGTGTGAGAAATACTGACTCACATCTTAGAATTTAAAGAGGACAAAGTCACGAAGCAAAGGTTAAAAAAAAATAACAATTTATTAATATGAAACAGCGCTGAATCGGGTGCACCAAAAATAGATGCACAATGATCTTTTAGCTTTCAGGTATTTTATACCTTTATCCCGGCCGCCTGAGTTTCTGTCTCCCTTCTCATTGGCTGAGAAGTTGGAGCTCACATTCTTCCCGACCGCTTGACCTATTACAGGTTTATTTTGCACTTTTTTCCATATAAGGCACACATACACTTATTCTACAAAATCATTATCCTAAACACGCCTTTGATTAGTTGATTATGCTACATGTTATTTTAGAGTCTTTGCTACCATCTACTTGGCAGATTTACTGTCCAAGACTGGTTTCTTTGGCCTTCCTGATACTCCCCTACCCTCTGGGTTTTTGTGTTGAAGGCCATGTTCCAGTCTATTTCTCTTCCCCTAAATAACGCTCTGCGAACAAGGATCCCTTGACAGAGCAAGGGCATTTCTGGGGATTAATTGGATACAATTTATTAGACTCTACTATTACTAAGGCTTCTTTGTTAGTACTATCACGCTAACAATGATACATCAATTAGCTGAAGCAAAACTTAGCTCATTTCCCACAGTGGGGACAAGAGCAAAGGGGGAGAGGTTTGTGTAGGAAGGCTGTACCTCGTACTGGGCTCACACTGAGTGGTTAAAGAGAGGACAGAACCCTGCAACCAGACAAGCATCAAACTAAAAGCAAAATAAAAAAATTAAAGAGTTCTTGGGGCAGCAGGATGGTTTCCTCACTTGTCCAGAGTTAAGTTGTGGGATGTTCAGAAGCCAAATGGATGAGTGGTTCCAAAAATTCACAGAGGTGGGGTGGGAGCTGGCTGCTGAGCGCCGCATCCAACGCAAAACTTATTTGGGCCAAATGACTTTATTTCCTGACTGATGGCAAAAGCCAGAAGATGTTGACAGGCATCATCAGTGCAGGAGGGGAAGGGGTCACTCTGTGCTGTTGGCATATGAGGGAGTGAGCAGCCCTGGGAAGACTGTGAGTGAGGTCAAGATCGGCTCAGAGGAGGGCCAAGGCTTCCCATTGAGAGCATTCCACTGCCCACCTAGACCTATTTTGGGACTTAGCTGAAAACTATGGCCAAAACAGTGTCACCATCATGCTGGCCTGTTCTTGGGAAAATCAAGGTCCTGACCTTCTGTGGAAAATATCTGTGAGATGTTGCCACTGTGGTGGGGCTCTCCATATGGTGGTCCAGAGGGCTCCAGACCTCTTGGTACCTCCTCCTGTTAGGTCTGGTAAATGTGCTAGGAGCAACCAAACTGCACTACCACCATGTCAGCCCTCTCATTATGTTGTAGTTTCAACAGATGAGGGCATGGTGCCCAGGAGTATATCAGGGTCTCTCTGTGGGCTGTGACTGCTGCACTGCCTCAGCAAAGTGGAGCTGTGGCTCCTGTAGATCGTTTTGTTAGTGGTGATCACTGAGGTTTTCTTTCTTCATGCTCCTCAGGCCTCTGGAGGCCAGGACTTGCTCAGGAGCCTCTGGGCATGGAGTAATTTCCTTGTGTTGCTTAATTTTCAACTGTTACTCTATCACTTGCACTCCAAGCAAAGCTAAAACTTCAGTCCTGTACAACAGAGCTGCTACATCAGGAAGCTGTGGTTAGAGAGAAATACTGCTGAACTTGTTCATGTCTGCAGAGCTTGTGGCTCACGATTCACGTGTCAGAGGGAGCATAAAACTCAGGACACGCTCCTGCTGCGAGGCAGCAGCCCCTGGTGCAGTCTGCAGGCGATTTGCTGCAGGCAGCGGTGGTGTGAGCCGCACTGGTGGGGCAGCAGCATTTGTGTCGGCCAGCGGGCACGGGGAGATGATTTCATCTTTGGGTGCAGATCAAGGCTGGACTGAGTAAATCGCAAGGAGAAATTCCAACGTTGTGGGCTACCCCCAGTTGCTCTTGCTTGGATGTTGGTGTTGGCAGGAGCTGCCCGTCCTAAAGGAAGGTCCTCTCTGCCTGCGTCAGCGCTGTCCTGTCTCGCTTCCTCCCTCAGCCCGACACGCTCTCACCACGCAGCCAGGTGAGGCTGACCGGGCTCTTGCCTGGGACTTAATTCCTTCTGACAACTGCCACCTCTGTGTGCTTTCTCTGGGAGGAAGACTCAGGTGCTGGAGAAGGGCAAGCAAGAGACAGCGGCAGGGAGCTGAAGCTGAAACTGAAATGAAAAAAAGAAATTAGTTGCAATATTTTACCTGTGGCTTAATGAACTAGTGGTGTGTGTGGCCAAAAGGTGAAGCAAAAGATTGGTCTCCATCCTCTTTAAAGGCAGCTTGGGTGTGTTTCTGGAGACCGCTGAGTCCCATACAGGGTTATCTTGTGCATGTTACTGCCATGTCTGCACAGACGATCAGATGATGTGAACTCATGGTCACTCTCAACCTGAGTTTTTCTGCACTCTTGGAAACTAGTGAGAAGGGTGAAATATGCTGTGACCCCAGCACTGTGGAAATCACAGCCAGGCATGAAAACAGTTCTGGTAGAGCTGGAGCCACGGGGTTCTTCTGTTCTTTGGTATCACCTCTGAAAGGCAGAAATACTGCTGCTGGTGATTTTTGTGGTGGTTCAACCCACAGCTTTTGTTGATAGTGTGGGGAACCTTGTACAGCAGAGCCTCAGTGTGTGCAAACAGCCACCAGCAGGTGCATGGTTGTAATGGAGAGCAGCACTAGTGTGGTATAAAGCAGTAAACACAGCAAGAACCTGTCCCTGAGCAGGGAGAGCCCTGGCAAGGTGTGCACTGAGCCTGACAAGGGTGGGGACAACGGAGGAAAGGGGTGCTGAGGGGGAGGACATCAGCCAGTTTTCCACTGCTGGAGGCAGGTCCCTGAAGGGGAAGTCACGCAGCTTGGAAGTCACGCCGCACTGAACACTTGACACGCACAGGCGGGTAAGTTTCCAGCACTATTGTTCCTTGGGTGCCTAGATGTTTATGGTGATGCCCCCGCACTTTACTGTGCTGACTCATGTCGTCATCTACTTCATGGGTTCAGCTGCATGCCTTGGCTGATATGATGCACAACAGAGGACAAAGCCAGTGGTGGTACCACTCCCCTGGGTACCCACCTGCCCACTCAGCTGTTAAATAGCCTTAGCTTGGCATGCAAGACCACACAGAGCTGCTCTTTGCATTCTTAAATTGCTGTAATACTGTTTGCTCCCATAAATCAGTGTTTATGGATCTTAAAAGACCGTGCTCTGTCTTTGAGCTCTGGCGCCTTTGGGACAACGCTCAGAGTGAAGAGCTGTGGCTCCTTGCAGGGCCAGCCTGATGTGGAAATTGTCAGGGCTCATATCAGTCCAGTGAATGGATCACACCTGAAACACTGTCCCCAGTCAGGAGTGATGTGGAGAAGCCAGAGAGGGTCGGTGGACGGTAGCAGAGACGGAGAGCTGGGCTGATTTAGCTGGGTGAAGAGGGGGTGTCTGGCAGCCGGCCACAACTCCCCCAAGGGCAGTTACAGGCAATGGTATCAAGCTCTTTTGGGCAACATTAGATGATATAACATGCAGCGATATCCACTTTGTGGCTCAGGAAGTTCAGGTTGAGTTTTAGGAAGAGTTTCTTCTGCAGAGGGTGGTGCAGCCCTGCAAGAGGTTACTAGAGAGGTGACCTCCATCCTTGGAGGGTTTCAAAGCCCAATTAAGCAAAGCACAGACAGCTTGATCTGGTATTGTCAATAATCCTCCCAACAAGAGGTTGCATGAAAGCCCTTCCAAGCAGTGCTTGTATGAAATAACACCTATAATCCAGTCCCCTCAGCCACTTAAGCTGTCTCCTCTCAGCCCAGGAATGACACTGACAGTGATGGAAATAATTTGTAACTAATTCATCTCTCGCCACTGCAATCCACATTTTCTGTCAATGCTTTATGTTCTTTTTCTAATATATTTTCCAATTCTCTTAATGCTTGACCACTTTTTCCAGAAGAATATCAAGAAGGCTTGCAGATATTTAAGATATACATGGACTACTGCCACTAGATCATCACCTATCTGCTGGCAGCAGAGTCTGGCTAGGGGATGCTGAGGCTTACGCTAAGCCCTCTGAGTTATGGAAAAGTGTGTATGGGTGTAGTGAGTGACCACCTCCTCTGCATTTCTAGGCCTTGGATGCTGACCGAGCTGTGCTGCAGAAGATGAGGAAAGCGGCCAAGGCAGAGCACAGCTGTGGACAAGGTTGGGACAGAACAGAGCCTCAGGAGGGGGAAGATGGTGATGGATGGATGAGGGGAGTCCTTGCTGCGGGACATGTTGACTGCAGCAAGGAATAAGAGTCCCTATATCTGGGTGGTAGTGGTGGGGACAGCAGAAGGCTAGAGGAGCCTGCTTGTGTGCATGAGCAGAGCCAGGTAGAATGACTCTTAGGAGGGAGACAGGGGTTTGGCATTCATCCTCACCTTCCCCCTCCACTTACCAGAGACCATCCATGTTCTTACAGACCTCATCAGCCACCTTGAAGCCCACATAGCTGCCCAGGAGAAGTTCTCAGCGAACTACCAGCTGGAGAGCGAGGAGCAGCTGGCCAGCGCCTTCAGCACCTTTGCTGCCTTCTCCCGGGATCTGCTGATTGCGGTCAGGAGCCTGGTAGGCAGCTTTGTCCTCTGCATATACATCAGAGTGGGGGTCCTTGCAAGGGGATGCTGGCGGGTATCCCCAGGAAGAGCAGCATGCTCTGGGTCACAGCCTGGAGGTCCAAGTTCATCCCCTTCCCCAGATGGAGGCAGGAGGCCATGGTGTGTGGTTGCAGAGCCAGTGGTGCAGCCACATGGCCAGAGCTGTCTGTGCAGACCTCTGAGGCTGCTCAGGAGAGGCCTCTGGAGGTCTTCTGTCCATCATCCTGCTTGCAATGGGGCTCTCACCAACACTGGATTGGGCTGTCTGTGGCTTTTTCCATCTTGGTAATTTCCAAGGATGGAGTCTTTCAGCTGACTGTTTTCCAAAGTGGTTCCTCTGCAGACTCACAAGCAGCTCTGCTTCCTCTGCGAGGGAGCAGCGCAGGCTGCCGTGCTGCCAGCATCATCTCTCTCTTTCCTTTCCAGTGGCAGAGCTTGTACCACAACATTAACTTTTCCCTGGATTCGTTAATAAAGGGTGACATGAAAGATCTTAAAGGGGTAAGCAGGGACTGAAAGGGCCGTGCCAGGGTGGGGGCTGGTAAGCGAGGGGCTGGAGACAGAGCGGGTACCGGCTGTGGGGTCTCTTCCCTGCTCACATCTTAACCCCCAGCAGGGAGACACGTTGGAAGGGCAGGTCTGCCTGCACCTCCTGTGTGCCAGATCCTGCTCCCTCCCAAGGCTCATGCCTCACACCACAGGTCAAGCTAGTGGTGCCCCTTAGCTGGGACCTCTGCCTGTTTGCAGGCACCTGGCTGAATCCAGAGGAGTCTGGTGGTATTTGTTACGCAGGGGAAAATCAGGGTGTTGTGCACCAACTATTGATGTCTTGCCTGGCCATCAGTGGGCAAACTCCCCCACAACCTCCCTATGAGGTATGTGCTCCCCCGCAGACCCATCTGTGGCTCTTGCATTTATGTGTGTGATACGTGTGTTAGTGTGAACCTGAGTGTGCGTGCGTGTGTCTGCCAGCTGCAGGTACCTCCCAGGGACAGCAGAGTAGCAAGTGCTGAAGCGACCATGCAATTTGTTCTTCAGCACTGTAGAGATATCAGAGAGCCTCACAGCACCCACCAGTGTAGATTTTAGGAAAAGCATCGAACTCATATTTAATTTTTGCTTTTTTTTTAACCAATGGGAAGGTCATCATGGTCTTTGTTAAGTCTGCACACATGTTCCTACCACTAAGTCCCCAATTCTGTACTCAGGCCACCAGCTCTGTGTGATCACAGCAGGTGCCCCTGCCTGCTTAGGGGTGCCCGTGCCTGGGGGTGCTGGGGGTGAGGAGGCTGGACTGATCCCAGTGGCGATGCTGGAGCGAGGTCACTGCTGAGGGATTGCTGGTCATACCCTGCATCTAATGTGGTGGAGCAGCTGTGACCTGGCACCACTCCTCTCCGGGTGGTTTTGAGTACAGAGACTCTGCCAGCAGGGTATGTACAACTTGAAAAGTAAAGCAATTATTTATCGGTTGGTGCACATACAGGGTTGTTAGGATTTAATGAGCTTGGCGTTAATACGCTCAGCACAATAATGAGACACCTGAGGAGTCTGGCTGGCTGGGCAGACCAGCTTGGAGGAGCAGGAAAGGCACTGCTGCTCCCTGAAACAGGTTCCTGCTATTGGTCTTCACTGTCTTCCACCACACCTGCTGATGCTCTGACAAACACCCTGTGTTTTCTTATAGGGTGTTATATTTTTTCCATGACACTATTTTTCCTCTTGAATTCTTGAGCTAGTAAAGAACCTGTTTCAGCAACCTGAATTTTGTAATTTTAATTTTTAAATCTTGTATGGTTCTACTCTAGATTTTTCTCCTAGCTTTTTCTCCCAGCTCTGCAGTTTCCTTAGATGCTTGATAGAAGTTTTGCAGCTGGGCTGTATCAGAGGTGGGCTGGGGATCCCTGAGCAAAGAGCTGCACCTCTGGGAAAGTAGAGGGAAAGTTTTGGACAGGATTGCAGAAAAGGGGGTGGGAGCTGTGGCAGGGCTTTGGGACTTCCAAAGGACTAATTGCCAAATACTGAAACAAATTATGAGCATTTAGGCATCTGGTTGGAAGCTTGTGCTATACAGCAGCGTGAAAGTGGAAGGAGAGAGCAAATTCTGGAAGTTCTGGTATGAAGTAACTTGATAAAAGGATATGAAATACGAAGGAAAAAATCCACTACTTCCCTTAAAATTGTAAAAGTTGTTATAGCTGGGTACTGCTATGTACCCATGTGATCTACACATGTGTGATGTATATTTTGGAGCCTCTGTGTATTTGCATGTATGTGCAAGCATGTGCCCGTGAGTGAACCTGCAGCGGTGAGCACACGTGTCCACTAAGGAGAGGCGAGGACCTTCCTGAGAAGGGACACTCCTGTGGACAGCCATGCCCTGGGTCTGCAAGGGCCTTTTGTGTGAGGGTGACCCGGTGGGAACGCAGTATGCTGAGGATGAGGAAGACTCTGTCCCAGTTGTAGTCATCAAGTGGTGCCTTTGCGTCTTTCTAGGAGTTCAAGAAGCCCTTTGAGAAGGCCTGCAAAGACTACGAGAGCAAACTGTAAGTCTTCAGGCTCCCTCACCCCAAGGCCTGGACTTGGAGGCCGATTTTTGCCTGCCTTCACTGGCAAGCAATGGGTCGGAGCTTTTCATGTGTCTCTCCTCTTGAGTGCCAAGATCGAGAAGGAGAAGCGCGACCTGGCAAAGCAGCACGGCATGGTGCGGAGCGAGGTGAGTGGGGGGGAGATCGCCGAGGAGATGGAGAAGGAGCGTAGGACCTTCCAGTTGAACATGTGTGAGGTAAGGACAGGGACTAGCCTGCGCCATGTGGAGCAGTGTTAGAGTTGCTGAATCAGCATCCAAAGGATGCATTTCCTTTCCACTGGTGCACAGCAACTGTGCTACAGCCCTGGCAGAACCTGGTCTGGAGTGGGCAGACACCAGCAGTGACCCTCATGCTGGTGTTTCTCACTTGCCCTTCGACCAAGGATTGTTTCAAAGCAGTCTTTTTGTCTGAATCCACACTGATTTTTCATTCAGGGCCATCTTCTGTCCCAGGTCAGTGAGTGATGCTTGTGTCCGGAGTATTGCAGGTCCCTTTCTGCTTTCCTGGGATGCTGAAGTCCCCAGGACTCTGCCCAGGGCAGCAGCAGCAGCTGGCAGATCCTTCTGCTCAGCCCCTGGGAAGCAGCACCAACGTGGGCTGCAGATCCCCACGGACCATCGCTCAGCAGGTCACATCTGTTGTGCTGGTGAGACCGTGGGCATAGTCCCTCAGAGAGCTGCCTGGGTTGTGCTGGGGCAAGGGCTGATCAAGGAGTTTAGCCAAAGCTTGAGTGTATATTAACCTGACAGTAGAGACAACAACTTGGAAAAAATCCCATGAATGCTGTGGAACAGAGCTTCTTCCTGACCGCCCACGGAGGGCACTGCTGGCACTGAGGTCCCTGATCCCTCTCAGATGATGCCACCATAGGCCTCCCTCTGCTTGTTGGGATAAACCCAGCTCAACTCTCCTGCAAACGGGATTTCCTGCTCCCACAAGCAACATCATGAGTAAAGTATTGGAAGATACCATTTCCATTCAAAATATCCAGCCTTTTGGAGCCATGCTTTGGAAACAGTTACTGTTTCCATACTGAAACTGTTGTTCTATTTCAAGTATCAGAAGCCATTGTGCTACAGAACTGCATTGTCCTTAAGCAGAGCCAGTAGGTCAGGTGGAGGTTTTGTTCTGCGCTGATGTGAGGCCACATGGAGCATTCGGGTTCCTGAGAGGGCGTCTTCTAGGAAACTCTTCTGATGGATCTAGGGTGTTTTGAATGATCCCCTTAGAACAAATAGAGGGAAGGCTGAGGTTGGCCATGTCGAACATGTATTTTGGAAGGTGATTTACTATGTTGGCCTGGGGGCCTTTTGGAAATGGTTGTCTGTTAGGCTGCTGTTTTTACAGTAGTTCCAATGTGAAGAGAGCTGTTGCCAGTGTAGGAGTAGTCCAGAGATGGATGGAGAAATACTCAAGGTGTTTCACGGCACAACACAGTGTTTTACTTTGTCAGTCCGCCAACTGAAAGGGCCAGTGTTAGTTTTCATGGGTGAGGTTGTTGTGGTGGAGGATGGGCTGAGTGAGGTGGCAGATGAGTTTGGGCTGGAAATCTGAGCCTTCAGCTTGCTTCTGAAGGTCCTCAAGGCAGGCAGGCTCGCAGCACTGATGTTGTTGGGACAGTCAGGTGGAGGTGATGGAGTTCACAGATCAAGTCTAGTGGGCCTTGAAGGAACTTGGCTGTTTAGTAATGAAGCTTGAAGGTCTATGGCTGTTCTTCAGGGAAGGCACCATGAATGGTGAATCTTTGAGGGCATACTAACTAAATCTTTGAGGGTGTATGAACTGAATGTTTGCCCTGCGCAAGTAAAGCCCAGCAAGCCCAAGGTCCATGCCACCACTGTGAGTCCACCACTCAAAGCATTGCGCCCTGCTCACCACCATCTTCTCACCCCATAAAAGCCACATGAGCTGCTCCCACCAGGGTGTGACTGCCGGGACGGACCACAACACACTCAGAAGAGGGGTGCATAAAAAAGTGCATAAAAGGCATTTCTCTCTAAGCTATAAATTCAGTCCCTGTCTCCTTTTCCCTTCAGTATCTAATCAAAGTGAATGAGATCAAAACCAAGAAAGGGATTGACCTACTGCAAAACTACATCAAGCACTGCGCCTCACAGTTCAAGTAAGAGCAACTGGGAACCTGCCTGCACACCCTTTCTCTCCAGTAGTGCTGGTTGTAGAGGGGACCTGGGGGTGGTTTACATTGCAGGACCTGGGTTCCTGCAGTTGTCTTGGCCTGTCCTGTAACTTGCTGAATTGGGGCAAGAATCTCATTGCCATTTTCATAAGCCAGTGTAAAGCAGAATTTTGCGATGTAAAGAAGACAGAGTGCTGAGTGCTGTCCCTGCATTGAGCTGCCTCCAAATCTTTCTAAAATACATTTCCTAAGAAATATTTTTCAACTATGAAGTGAAAGTTCTGCCTGCTGAAGGCATGACGGGCTCTGAGGCAGGAGCTCAGGGAGACTGTGGTCTGTAGGCTTCACTGCCAGTGCTACGAGCGGGATTTCAGGACGTGCCCTCACGTTAGCCTCTCCTCTCAGTTTTTTCCAGGAATGTTTAAGCACAACAGCAAAACTCAAGAAGTTTACAGAGAAGCTTGTTCCAGAGCTGCAGAATGTAAGTATTCAAATGAAGTTGGGTGAGGCGAGCAGAAGCAGGCTGGAGAGCAGGGAAGTCTTCTCTAGGGCCTCCTCTTCTGCTGAAGAAGCAGAACGGAGGACTTTTGCAGCTCTTCATATCTATTAATTGTTATTTCCTGATCCTCTGATGCACAGTGTCCCATGGAGGGGTGAAATGCAGCCATCACTGGAAGTGGGAAAATTACACTGCCTTACCCCAGAGCACAGAGTAGGATAAACAAGCATAAACATGGGTACCGAGGTGGCACTAACATATTCATCTGCCAGAGCCCCAGCGGCTGCTCTGCAGACTTCCAGATTTCTCCTTTGTGGTCTTAGCTTTCCTTGGGGCCTTTGTTTTGCTGTAGAGGCAGGTCATGACTTTGACTTTGGGTTCTCTCAGTCACACACAACCTAGAGACATAAAGGAGGCTGAAAAAGGAAAGGCTTTCAGAGACAGTCTGAGCACTCATGTCCCAGGAGGTGTGACGTCCTTCTACTGCAGCAGAGGTTTTATGTCAGTCTACCAGTGTGTCTAGACCTCCATTCCAGTTTGCTTGGGTTGCTCATCCTTCTCCATACCTTCTTGCAAGTCAGGATTTGCAGGGGCCTAGGATATAGCACTCACCCAGATACATGGTCAGCATCCCTTGTTCTCAGCCCTGTAGAGCAGGTCTCCTCTGGGCATTTGCTGCTTTGTTTGAATTAATCTGGTTTAGGGGTGTTACCTTGCTTGTTCCATAATTTGCAATCATTCATGTTAAAATTCTTTATGCAAATAATAAAAAGAGGGAAGGAGCCACGCCAGAGCAGAGTAACCGAGCACAGAAAGCAGCATCTTGTGGACCTCTCATGCAGACAAACCCCCAGGCTCTGTTTCAGGGCCACATTCCTGTACCAACGTCTGTCAGCTTTTTGATAGCTCAGAGACCTTCAAATTACTTTCATTACTGACACTACCAAGGGAAAAAAAGCGCAAACACCATGGTGACCTTCAAGCTGTTGATTGTTTTTACACTGTGGAGATCTGCAAACAGCTGTTTTCTCAGAGAAATGCAGACTGCTCTCCAGTCCTGGCACTGGGGACATGCCTGCTCCCTCCTCTCAGTGAGGTTTCCACTTCTTGCACATACCACATGCCAATGTACTCGGGATGAGCGGCAACCTACCTCCCACCGTAGGAATGGGGCTCGACACATCCCACAGATGGAGGTGGGGAGGCAGCGAGGGCAGAGGGGGCATGGGGGCAGCTTCACTGCACCCAGGAGGAGGAGTGGGATGCTGCAGCTGAAGGCATGAACCTCCTGCTGCCATGTGAGCAGCTCACTGTGCTCCGGTGCCTTTCAGATGAAGATCAGGCAGGACGAGGAGAAGCAGCAGCTCTGCTCCCTTCGGGACCAGCTGAAAACAGCGTTGCAGCTGGAGCAGAAGGAGGTAAAGTCTCATCCTTCTTCCAAGGGATCACAGCGTGGTGCCTGTAGAGGTCATGGTATGGAAGCTGCTTATATAGTGTCTGCCTGCTGGTGCAGAAAGCCATGGGGCTTCTGGTGAGCTTTGGGGGAGCAGAGGGACCCTGGCGTTTCTGTGAGGACATGCTCTTGGCTGCCAGTGATGGGGTAGGGCCTTGCTGTTACTTCTCTTCATCTGCCAGAACCCTGAGAACAAGCAGGCAGTGTACAGCATGCACCAGCTGCAAGGGAACAAGCAGTACGGCACGGAGAAGTCGGGGACCCTCTACAAGAAAAGTGATGGGTAAGTTGGGATCCAGCACGTCCCTTTCAATTGCGCTTTGGTGACCTGGGGCCAGAGCAGGGCTTACCCAGACACACCTCCTCTCCCTGGGGTGTCCACAAGGCAGAGGAACAGGACGACCGTGTATGAAAACATGCTTGACACTGTCCCAGCCTCCAACAGCTTTCAAAACAGACCTCCAGGTAGTTTGTGTCTGTCTTTTAGCTCAGAGGGCATTCATCTCCTGTGAAGCCTCCCAATTTCCTTTCAAGTCCTGTGAGCACTGGGGTGAGGACCCCTGCACCCACCATGGGAAGCCAGAACCAGCTCCCCATCTTTCCTTCCAGCAGGGATGCCACCACCTCCATCCAGCACCCCAAGGTCTTGTGCTGGGAGGGAAGGGGAAGGGTCAGTTGCTTCTCCCCCTCTCCCAGGCACTCATTGCTTTCCAGAAACTCCCTCCATTGCCTCTGCTCACAGTTCAGTGCTGGGCTCAGCTCCCTGATGGTAAGAATTAGGGGAAGGAGCAAAAATGTGGTGTGAATTAGACACATGGGTCAGTGCTGCCTTGGAGATGGCATCATGGGCCAGAGGGGAGAGAAAGCCAGCAGCCGTCCTGTGTCCCTCTCCCAGGAGCCAGACTGAGCTCCTGGAAAGCACTCCACTGTCTTTGGGAAGAGGATTATCTCCCACCAGTGAGTGGGAGGGTGTGTGCTGAGACTCACAAGGGTCCTGCACTGGGAGACTTGCATACCTGGAAAGGACTGTGAAGTGTCCTAGAAAAACCTGAAGCTGGACAGGAAATAATGAACTGGGGCTCAGGAGTCTCCTTCACTGCAGAGTGAAGTTCAACCTCTCTCCCCTTTTGGGTGTACCTCTTCCACCTTTCCCATGTGTTGTTGTCTGCCCTGAATGGCAGGCACAGGAAAGCCAGCCTGGGAGCAGTTTGGAGGTGATGGTCTTAGATGTTTGCTGAGGGCTTTTGCAAAGGGCTTCGTGCTCTGCTAGCAGCTTCTGCTGCCCTTATTGATGCTCTGCACCTGTATCACCTCCTCAGGAGCTGTGCCACCTGTCTGTACAAGCCTGTCTTATGCCATATGATGGGTCCTTCTCAGCCCAGAACAGACCAAGAGGGACAGACCCCACCCATGGCAGCCCAGCCAGCATGTCTGATGAGAGCTGCAGCCCTATGCTGTGCCTTTGCATCGCTCTTGCATTTGCCAGCGCTGTGCTGCACTGCACCACTGCTCCTCCATATGTATGTCCTCTGGGCTCACCCTCTGCTCATTTCCAGGTTGAGAAAAGTCTGGCAGAAGAGGAAATGCACCATCAGCAATGGCTACCTAACCATCTTTCATGGCATGGTAAGAACTGCTTCTTCCACCCTGCTCTCCTCCTTCTTGGGAGCTGCTGCCCACCCCTGCAGGTCCACAGAGCCTGCCACTGCCAGGCACACTGCTGGCTTCCTGGGGCTTGTCAGAGCCCTTGTGCCTGCTGCGGGCCTTGCTGGGCTGCCCTGGCAGAGGAGGCTTTCTGTTGAGACTTAAGTCCCTGCAGTCCAAGAGAGCTTTAGACAAACATGAGAGATCCTCATGTGCCTGTGTGCATGGAGGGGCATGAGCCAGGGGACCTGGCTCCAAGCATGGGGTGGCTGTTGGGGAAGAAAAAGTCTGTGCTGCCATTTCTTGCATTGCATCTGAGAGCGGAGCCAAAGACAAAGTGCTGGGCACAAGGCAGATCCATGACTCTGCCCCCAGAGCCAGGTGGTTACTTGTCACCACTGGACCACAGCCCTTTCATGCTTTGTCATTCTGCTTGTAGCTCAACCGCCCACCAGCCAAGCTGAATTTACTGACCTGCCAGGTGAAGCCGAACATGGATGACAAGAAATGCTTCGATGTGGTGTCCCGTGAGTGCTGGTGCCTGCCCTGCGGTTCCTCTGGGGCGGCCCCAGGGAGGGGGCTGTGCTTTGGACTCAGAGAGCCAGCGTGGACAGGCATGAGGGGAAGCTCTGCAGCTTTGGCCCAGCTTGGGGGGATCACTGTGGGAAATTGTGCCAGGAGGCAGCTCTGCTCAGGAGCAGTGATGCACACACGGTGCGACATAGGCAGCACTGCCACAGGGCAGCACGGGCACTACACAAGTGTAGTTCCCAGGCTGTGGCTTAGCTGACACCAGCATCCCTCGTTCCTGGTAGAGGAGCAGGTTCCTTTTCCTGGGATGCACTGGGGAGGGGCTGAGTGAGACAGAGATGACTGTCACCCCAAGCTGCCCAGGCTTGAAATTTCTCCTGGCTCAGGCAAGTTGTGCCCTGCTGTGAGCCTGGCAGGTGAGATGGGTGAGCAGGGTGCCTAGAGGAGACCGTCTCTCTGTGTTTCAGACAACCGCACGTACCGCTTCCTGGCAGAGGATGAGCAGGACTGTGCCGCGTAAGTACCGCCAGTGCCTTGCTGCAGAACAGAAAATGCTCCTCTGGCTGCTGCTGAGGAGACAGCTCTTTGGCTAATCGAGTAGCAGACTGCAGCCCCCTGTTTGATGCCCTTGCCATCCTGACTGTGTCCCAGGCGCTCTGGGGCAGCTGGCCAGCTGTGAGCAGCACACAGAGCTTGATGGCACCCAGTTTGCTGCTGGAGTCCTGTGCAGGACCTTTGTGTGTGGTGGCTGCTGTGCGGGCTGGGGCAGAGAGGCATCTCGCCCTGCAGCAGTGGGATGAGCCCCACTGCCCTCCTCGCCCTGCAGCCCAAGCGAGGCCACACGGGACCCTGCTCCTGAGCCATGTTCTGCCCCTGCAGCTGGGTGTCCGTCCTCAGCAACAGCAAGGAGGAGGCGCTGAACGTGGCCTTCAGCAAGGCACAGGGTGGAGGGGAGAGCAGCTGGGAGGAGCTGACCCGAGCCATCATCAAGGAGGTCAGAGGCATGCCTGGGAACAGGGAGTGCTGCGACTGCTTGGCCCCAGGTGAGAACCAGCCCACGGCCATAGGGCCGCCATGCTTCCTCCCCCTGGATGGGCAGAGCTTTGTCCTGCCCTCTGTGGCACCCAGCTCCTGGAGACCCGCAGGCATCTGGGGTCTTGCCCTTCCCATCCGTCCTGCTGTGGAGCTTGTGTCTCGTGGTGGTGGTGGGCTGGTGAGGAGGAGCAGCAGCAGAAGTGCATGAGTCTGGCACTCTTGTCTCTACAGATCCCACTTGGCTCTCCATTAACTTGGGCATCCTGATCTGCATCGAGTGCTCTGGGATTCACAGAGAGATGGGTGTGCATCTCTCCCGCATCCAGTCACTGTCTCTGGACAAGCTGGCAACCTCTGAATTACTGGTAGGATGCTGCTGGTGCACTCTGTCCTCAAGCCTCTCTCTGCTTCTGCTGTGGCCTTCCTGAAACTAAGTTAATTCAGTGGGTTTTTCAGCTGTTAACTATCCCATAATCATCTGTAATTCCAGGGCTTTGTGGTTATTGTTGCAGGAATTGTCATCTTCAGTGAAGAGATGTGGGAGTCATTTTGCTGTTGCTCGGTCACCTTTCTCTCTCAGTCCCCTTTCCCCATCTACATCCTTTGGTGCAGGGGAGTTGTGGGGCAGGGGAGCTTGAACTGGGGTAGAGCAGAGTGTGGGGCAGGCAGGGGATTGGAAACCTTGCATGAGGCTGTTTTAGGGCCACAAGTGGGCCTAGTGGGCCCCCTTTTAGGGCCAAGTGGTCATGGGTTTGATTGGGCTGTTTGTGGGAGCTTCTTGCAGCTGGTGGGAATCAGGGCAGGGGATGGGAGCATTTGTTAGAGTTCATTGATGGCCCAGATCGGAGCCCAGGGGCTGGGCTGGGGTTGGTTGCACTGCTGGCGTTGGGAGAGCTCAGCAGTAGGAGTCAGGGCAGAGTCTCTGGCCATTGGGAACACACACCTTGGCACCCCTTGACATCCCCTCGATACCTGGTCAGGATCTCAGCCTGGAGCTGCCTCTCATGCTGCCGCGCGTGCAGAGCTGCTGCACGTCCCATGTCACCTCTGGCTTGGCTGTTTTGCAGCTGGCAAGGAATATCAGCAACTCTGGCTTCAACAACATCATGGAAGCGAATCTCCCCAGCTTTTCCCTGAAGCCCACAGTGCACAGTGACATGTGAGTTGCATTTTGTGGGAGGACTGGATATAAATCCCCAGTGTACCCCTCAGCATCTCCCACCCGGGAAGGATGGAGGGGTCAGGAATCCTTATCCTGAAGCAGAGGTGATGTAGGGAGTTTCTGGAAAGCAATGGAGAGGGGGAGAAGCACTGACCCTTCCCTCCCAGCACAAGACCTTGGGGTGCTGGATGGAGGTGGTGGCATCCCTGCTGGAAGGAAAGATGGGGAGCTGGTTCTGGCTTCCCATGGTGGGTGCAGGGGTCCTTGCCCCCAGCCATGGCAGTACTTGCGCTTTAAATGCAGGAACATCAAGTTCTTGTTTAATTATATAACTGCAGGAGAAGAAGCTTTAAGAAAACCACAGTCTTTTGTAAGAATTATTGTCATGCTGTTGCAGAGGAGTTTGCAGAATGAGGCAGAGAGAGGAAAGGGGCTAAACTACCTGGCAGATCTGAAGGAGAGAGAGGGACTGTGGCTGGGGCAAGCAGGAGAGGAGAGGGGGTGACCCCGGGATGCTCACTGCGTTACTCTGTGGCCCCTAACTCTCATTTGGCTGGTCTCTGCCAGGACCTTTCGGAAAAATTTCATAATTTCCAAGTACGTCGAGAAGAAGTATGTCAAAAGGAGCCCTACTGCTCAGTGCTCTAGCCTCCCAGAAGCTGTCAAGGACAAGGACATATTTTCCTTGCTGCAAGCGTATGCAGAGAACGTGGATTTGAGCGAGCCTGTGCTGGCACCTCTGCAGGTATGGCCGCCTGTCCTGTGGGCCCATATGACAAACAGCTTTGGTGTCACCTCTCCAGTCTGTCCATAAGGGTTCCTGTGCCCAGGAGGGGACAGAGTTTTCTGATGAAAACAGTTCTTTCTGTGAGCCAGGACCAACAGGCAGATGGGAGCAGGGTGTGGAACGTCACACCAGAGGGAGGTTTTCTGGCCACAACCCCATAGCCCTCCTCGTGCCATGTGTCTATGGTCCAGGAGTCATCACCACAAGCCCAAGGATTTCCAAATGCAAATTTGTAGCCAAGATTTACCTGTAAACTTCTGAGCAGATGTCTTGGGACATTCAAATCTCACTGTAGGCTGAAAAATAAGGGTAGCATTTTTTCGTGCAAAACCACAGTGTGGGTCCTTGCTGTAAGTGCAAGGACCCTTTTCCAGTCAGCAGGAACTTCACCGGCCTGCCATGACTTTTCAGATATAATGGAAAGCGTCTTGGCAACTTCACCTGCCAGCTCCCTCAGGACCCGTGGATGGATTTCATCAGGTCCTATGGACTGATGTATCTTCAGGTTCCTCAGATGGCTTCAAACCTGATCTTCTCCCTACAGTGGGCAGTTCTTCATTCTCGTGGTTGATTCTTGTTTATGAAGCCATAAGCCACAGTTCTATGCATGTTAACTAGGTTTTCACCAGCCTTGGTTGTTGTGACTCTGAAGAGACAGTCAAACCTGTTGATCTCTCAGGGATTTTAAATGTGTAAGGACAGTCTCTAAAGGACAGTGTGGTGATGGTGTGGGCAGACCCAGTCTCATCCTTGCTGTATTTCTTTTGGTTGCAGGAACCTGGGGAGACCATTCTCCACATGGCAGTGCTGTTGTCTGATCGAACCTCTTTGCATATTGTCGATTTTCTTATCCAGAACAGGTATGCTCACGATATCCAGTCAGCTTCTCATGGCTAAGTCATGCTAGTGAAAGGTGCAGGACTGATTGTCTTCTCCAAAATGCTCCCAACAAAAGTTAAAATCACCAGAGGAGCCTCCCCCAGCAAATGTGCCTTGAGCTGGGCTTGGGGTAACTACCCCTAGATCAGAGGGGCCTTGGGTTCCTTCACCTCCTCTGACTTGGGGTGTGATGGTGGGGGTGACAACCTTTCCTTAGGTGAGGTGTGAAGAAGGACACACGTGTCAGCACCAGGCAGTGTTTGCTGGCTCTTCCTGGGGATGCTGACATTATCCACTCTCTGTTGCAGCGGGATCCTGGCAAAGCAGACGTCGGAGGGAAACACACCGCTCCACTACTGCTGCTCTCACAACAAACCCGAGTGTGTCAAACTGCTGCTGAAGGCCAAAGCCAATGTTGCCATCAGTGAGTGGCTGTGGGACCCCACACCCTGTGCTCACAGGGGTGGGTCTTGTCAGGTCTCCTCTGGAAACATCTCCTTAGTCTTGCTCAAGTGCTCAGCAGCCCTCTGAGGCTGGGGGGAGGCAGGTTGATGATGACATTAGTGGGGACTCTGCCCACAGGGTGATGGCCTCAGCCCCAGGCTTTTCTCTGCATGTCTAGTGAGGTGCCCTGCTCTCATACTGTTCTTGGTTGACTTTCTAGGCTCAGGGCTGTTCACAAGCTAGTTCGGGGTGCATGTGGTCCTCTGTGACCACATCTCACAGGTTACTGCTCTTGGCAGCCTGGGACAGCCACAGTGGCTTTGCTCTCCAGATTAGGGATAGGGATGCTCCTCCCCAGGGAGGAATGAGCTTACTCTGAAGTGCTTCTGACCCTAGAGAGCTCGTGCTTCTGCCCCCCTTCGCTTGTCCCCCTTCCAGGTGGGGAGCCACAGCCCTGCCCATGACTGGCAGATCCATGGTGGGACTGTGCTAGAGTGGGCTCACCGAGCTGACAGCGCCCAGTGAGGCAAACACTGCCTGAGCTCCTCTTCCACTCAAAGATGGACTTGGCACATCAGGAGCCAAAACAGGCAATTTGACTCATTTTCAAAGCCAGCACTGCAATGCTGGAGAGCTGGTGGGAGGGCTGCCAAAGCGCAGGTTCAGATATCGTGTATGCTTGTACTCTGGAACCCAGTTCACAGGTCCAGCCACTTATGCTGCCCATGAATCTCCTCTTCACAACACAGAAATGAGCTTTAAAACTAGGATTCTGGGTGAAATGGGGGCACAAATGTTTCCACCATCAGGTATCAGCCAAGCTGATAGATGCGGTGAACCTCCAATGCTCCTAAGATGCTCCTGTTTCCTGCTCCAGGCAGCATGGTGGCAGTCCCTCTGAGGGCAAAGAGACCATGGTGTGGTGGCAGGAGCTGGTTGCATGTTGCCCAGTGGCACAGTGATTTGGCAGCCAAATTTCTCACTGCCTTGGCTCTGCTGGGTGCAGCATGCCTGATCTGTCTTTATGGACTACCACTGGTACCTCGAACATCTAGAGTCCACAGTGCAGATCCTGCCACTGATCTGGGGATGCTCTGCAGTCCCTCAGGGTGCAGACCTCTCACTGTTCCCTTCTCCAGCTCTCCCCCTTCTCCACACTTCCCCAGTCCACTCCTCCCCAGTCAGAGTCATGCTGCAGCTCTGCAAGGAGGGTTTTTTTGCAGCAGTAATAACACTGCAGTTACAGGAACACCATCACAGGTCTCGTCCTCAGACCTCCCAGGGGTGGAAGGGGTTCTAGTTTAAAGTGATGCTGAAGTAAGATGGTTGTCACTCATTCACACTTGCAATCTCACCACTGCTTACAAGCACTGGGACCTGGGTGTCCATGTGGTCTGTGTTTCCACCAGGCATCAGGACACAGGTACTGGATCTGCCCAAAACTTCCTGCTGTGACACAGAGGACAGGGGGTGCTGGTTATGGAGTCCTCCTCTGGTTTTGTAGCCATTAGGCCCTGACAGTGACCAAGCTCTTCTGTCCTTCTATCCTGTCTCATCTCTGTGAGTCATCAGGATTTACTTTTCTCCTTGTCTGTGTGTCTCAGCTCCCGCCCTCTTCTTCAGCTCCCACCACCATCTCTTAGTGGCCTCAGTCTTTGTTTTGGTCTGGTTTTAGGCTGTCCCTTCTTTCAGCTTGTTCACCCCCAGATGCCCCGAATGCAGCACTGTTCTTCAGTTTGCTGAACACAGGGTGGGCTAATGGTGTTCAAGGTTGCTGATTTACCCCAACAGCTAATGAAGCAGGAGAAACGGCCCTGGATGTCGCCAGGAGGATGAGACATCCCCTGTGTGAAGAGCTGGTAAGACACTGTGTCTCATCACTCCTCTGGTTTTGGGACATGTCCCAGTAGCAGAAAGTGGTAGGGGTGCATGTGCAGGGTCGCCTGTGTCCCTCAGCATCTCCAGTGCCAGTGTGGTGTGGTGGGGTCCAGCTGGCCCTGCTGTCATGGGGTCCCTCAGGAAAGACTGGTATAGGAGAGGCCAGGCAGGGGTCATGCTGTGCCTGAGGGGGAGGACCTGGAGCTGTACTGAGGCTGCATGGGGTGAGCCTTGCTTCTGCCACGTCCTGATGTGTGTGTTTGTAGACTTTCTCAAACCCCCTTGCTGCTGGGAAGCGCTGCTCACAGCTTGCAGATGTCGCCCTGATGGGCGGGTGGTCAGAAATGGGACCAGGAGCTGCCTGTGGGGCTGATGGGGCAGGACAGTGCTGGTGGGTCCTCATGGAGCTCCTCTGTACCCCAGCTGCTGCAGGCCCAGAGCAATCAGTTCAACCCCCATGTCCATGTGGAGTATGAGTGGTGGCTAGGCCAAGATGACATGTATGAGAGTGACGAAGACCTGGATGAGAAGGTGAGGTTCTGAGGGGCCAGGCATGTTGGCACTGTGTCCGCTCCCACTGTGCTGGAGTGGGTGCTCCTGCACCTCCCCAGCTAAACCCGCTCTGTCTAACCTCAAATACTGCTTCCCCAGCTGGGTCCTGTGAGGAGGGGGTCTGCCTGTCCCCAGAGCTGCTACCAACCCCCTGCCGCTGCCCCCAGGCTGCAGGCAGCAGGGGTAGTGCCCTGGGGGGGGTGGCCGGGCACCTGCCCCCCACCAGCCGCCCATCTCCACAGCCTGGATGTGCCACCGGCCCCTTCCTACGCGCCTCCATTCCCACCCCAGCAGGCAAAGGCAGGTGAGAACCTGTGGCGGGGTCCTGCAGGGACTGGCAGGGTGAGCTGCTGCACCCTGGCTCCATTGGCACAGGGTGGTCTGGGAGGGACCTGGGCCCCCGACAGCGGGTGAGTGTTTGTCTGGTGCCCTAGGGCACCCTTTTGTCCTCTGCTCCTTGAGGGACCAAGGCTGGCTTGTGCTGGCTGGTCTGTCCTAGCACTGATCCCTTCTTTGAAGAGCACTGCAGCATATACTAGCCCTTGGAGCAACTGTGCTGATGCCATTAGCATGAGCTGTCCCCTCCTAAATGCTGCTGCTGTTGGGAGAGGAAGAGGAGCATGTCTTTAGAGACAGGGCTGGGAAGACAAAGCTGCAGGCAGAAACAGCAGCAGCATTGCAGTTCTGCTCCTTAGCAAGACCTGCTCCCACCATCCTTGCTCAGCCTTCCAATGGCATGTCCCACCTCCCACCTGTTTGGTGGGAGACTCACCAAGTCCTGCCTGACTTCTCCTCTGCCACTCCCAGCTCTGCTTCCAACCTGATATATTTCTCAAGGTAGACCTGCAAGCAGAGAAAAGAAAATTCCTGCCCATGTGTTTGTGTTCATTCTCCCCTGGAGCTTGGCCCCTGGCTCCCTGCTCAGCACCAGCTTGCTGCTGACCCCTGATCTGTTCTTGCTCTGTGTTTAGCTCCCCAGGGGGCATATCTGCCCTTCCTTACCAGCTCACCCATCATAGCCGAGGACACAAGAAGCAGGAGGAGCCCAGCCCTGCCTCTGAGCATCAAGCACAAGCGCACATCCTCAGAGCCAGCGCCTTGGGTACCGCTCAGCCCTGAGCAGACCAGCCCCAGTAGCCCGACTTCAGGTAACGAAAGAACAGGCTCCAGAGAGGCAAGGAGCCAGACCACGCTGGTGGGAAGGGCCTGCTGGAGGTCTGCAGTCCAGCACCTGCACAAGGTCACGTTGGCCGTAGCTTTGTCTGGTTCATAGATCAGACCCAGGAGGCCTCTTGCTTGGATCCGGGGCTGGGAAAGCTGTGGGAGCTGTGGCACAGGACAATGTGCCCGTGGCTGAAGACGAGGGGGAGTCCCTGCATCCTGGCTGTCAGACACCAGTGCTTCTAGGGCAGGGTTGTTCTGGGGTTTGTTGGGCTGTTGGAGGTGCTGAATTCAGAGAATGTAATGACCCTATCCTCATCTTTCTGGCATTGTATTTGTTTCCGTGGGTGGCAGAAAGATGCCCCTCTCTCCACACCCGGGCAGGGTGACAGGCTGAGGCAGTGTCTTGCACAACACAACCCTTTGACAAAGGGGTGAATGCAGCCATGAGCATCCCCAGGTGCTCTGGGATAGAGGTCTGGCCAGTGGAAGCTTCCAGGTGCCTCTAGGAAATAGCCTCATCCCAGCAGAGGTTGGGAGCGTGGGGGGATGGAGTGCATGGCAGCTGTGTCCTTCCCCTGGTGCTGGCAGCTCTTCGTGCACCCTGGGGCTGCACAGCCCATCTCTCCTGTCCTGCTAACACACTTCTCACCCCAGCCTCCACCCTATGTCCTTCTGCTTCCTGGCCACATCCCCTTCAACTGTTGCTCCTCTCCACCCCATCTCCACTCCGTCCCCTTTCCAGTTCCAAGACTGATAGGGTGGTTGTTGCCCATGCTGTGCTGTGGAGGACCATGCTGCATTGTGTTGCCTGACAATGGTGGTTGCTGTTGTTCACCTGTGATGAAAGGTGGGAGGAAATGATGAGCCTGATTGTGTCATAGGTGCCCTGAAAGCCACGGACCCCCTCTGCATATCTGGCCCAAGTGAAGTGGGACAGCCCAGACCACACCAATCCCTCCAGGAGCCAAATCCATGTTCTGGCCGTGCCTGGGATGTCCCACCTCTTCTTCCTCAGAGGAGCAGTTTGGTAGGTGGCTGGGATCAGCTCAGCTCAGCTCAGCTCCAACATCTGCCCAAAACCACTATTGGTTTTGAACTGAGCTGGAGCTGCCCCCCCAGCACTTCTCCTGTGACTCCCTGGTGTTGACACCTCCCTGCCAGGTGCTGTGACCGCTATGAAATCCCCATAAGGCTCCACTGCCTTTTGAGGGAAACCTCATTTATGACTTTGGGTTGTTGGCAGTGTCCACACTGGCCCTGCCTCTCTGTGCTCCAGGAGACAGCCTGCTGCTTGTGAGTGCTGTGCACTCCTTTCGTTACGGGGACCTTGCTTGGGTTGTTTGCTCCTGGGGTTGTGCTGAGCAGACAGAGCTGCCCTGAGAGGACTGGGACCCCAGGCAATGCAACTGCACGTGTCCTGGGGCAGAGGAGCAGGTGCCTCTGGAAGCACAAGGAGCTGTCTTCTGAATCCCTGTCCCACCCAGACTCCCAGCAGGTGACCTGCCACCTCTGCACAGAAAACTTTCTAGTCTCTTGCTCCTCACATCTTTGCCGGGGGCTTTGGGATCAAGTCACTAGAGCTGTTTTAGTTTGTGTCTGATGAAGCTGAGGAGCCCTGACGATGCTCTCTCCTGCTTGCAGAACAGAGTGCTGCTCCACAGGGTCCGTGCTCTCTATGACTGTGATGCTGACCGGGAAGATGAACTGACTTTCCGTACAGGCGAGATCATCGTGGTGTCTGAAAAGGAGGACAGCAACTGGTGGGTGAGTGAACCTGCATATGCTGACCAGTGCTGGGATATGCGTGATCACCTCTCCATCCATCTCCTGTCTTTGTCCCATGACTGTTGCACCCATTGTCATCTTTGGCTCTGCATCTGTCTCTCCATCTTCCACCTTTTCCTTGGCTTCCAAAGGCAGCTGTTAGGGGGCCAGTTCCTCATGCCTGTGAAAGCCATGCTCACTGGTCCCCTTCCTTTCTTTCTCCCCACAGAAAGGGTGGATTGAAGGACAGCCTCACAGGAAAGGAGTCTTCCCCGTTTCGTTTGTTCATATGCTCAACGAGTAGGAGCTGCTTCAATTCGAGAAGGAAGATCTGATCAACGTCTTAAAATGCATTCCCCCAAGCTCTCTTCTGCATCGAGGCTCCCAGGGATGACTGGGCTGGGAGCACCAGTTCACCCGGTGCTGCTTCTCTCACCTCTGCTGCCCCACCACCGCTGCCCCCCCAGCCAGCTCCTCCTGGGGGCTGGCAGCAGTGCCAGGCTCTCCCTTGACCAGGCAAAGGGAGAACACAGCAACCTGCATGCTCCTCAGATGTGCTCCTGCCCCAGCCACATCCTCATGCAGCAATCAGCCCTAGGGCACTCTGCTGCCAAAGGCCCAGCTCCCGCCTTCCCCTGACCACTCTGCCTGGCCCGTGGTGCTCCCTGCTCTGCTCGTGCTGATGGAAACGATGGCAGAGCAGAGCAGCGCCCTGCAGGGCTTCGGAGCTGCAAGTGGAGCCATGCTGGCATGTACACTCCTGGGAAGGGGGCTTCTGCTGAGGCCTGAGCACTCTGGGAGCTTGGAAAGGCAAACAGGTGCTGTGGAGCCAGCGCCACTGTGAGCCTGTGCTGCCCCTAATTGCTCCCACCCAGGTTTCAATGTATGTGCTCCAGAAAATGTGCTCTGTAGCAGCTCAGGGCATTGCTCCTTCAGTGCCTGGCCCCCCAGCAATGGTGGAGAGGCCCTTTGAGCCCATGCCAATAGATACCATCTCTTTGGTGCTCTGTTCTGGTTTGAGTTTCTAGATCCTTCTTTGTGGCTCTCCCTCAGGAGCCAAACCTCCTCACAGGCATCATAGTAAAGAGGGCTGACCTCCCCTTGGAAAAAAAAATACTCACAATTCAGCTTGCATGGCTTTTCTCCACTGGTTGTGTTTTTCCAGTTGCCAAGGCACATTTCACAGCCTTCATTTGTCCTCTCTGAGCCAAAATCCCATCCAGGTGAGCAAAAGAAACCAGCTGGTGATGTGCTGGATGCATGAGGCTGTTGAGACCTCTGTGTTGCTGGTGTCAGTGTGAGCTGACCCAACAGGATGCATAGTGGCAGGAGGGAGTTCTGCTCCAGGCAGCTTCTCCCACCCTCAGAGGAACATGTTAATGATGAATTTCCTGATTTGACCTCGGGAACGTGGCCAGGGTGGCCACCATGGTGCTGTGCTGCTGGGATGCCAGGGCGGTGGGCACAGCCAGAGGAGGGACGGCAGCCCTGACCTCACTGTGCCATGCGCCACAAGGTCTGTTCTCCCCCACGTCACGGTGCAACACTTCCTCTTCCCGTAGCGGTTGTTGCAGCTGCAACGAGTGCTGGGGAGGCCACTGAGCCTGGGAGCATCATCTCCGCCTGGCTGTGCTCAGTGGTGCTTCCTCTGAGGAGGTGAGGGGACCCAGGGAGAGCTGTCTGGGGACCGGGGGTTTGCGACAACATGGGGGCCTCTTTTCCGGCAGCAGGGCTGGGGAGCTCCTGGAGGTGTCCCTTGGGGCTGGCTGGGGACGGGGATGGGTTTGTGGCCATTTGGTGTGACTCAGTGCAGCAGCCACATGGCTCTGCTGTGGTGCCTTGTGGCTGATGGTGCTGGGCTGGGGAACCCTAAGGTGAGTGCATCTCTGGGCACGGGGCTGGGGGAATTGTTTCTAGTTGCTAAAAGCTTCACAAAATAATCCCTGCACTGCCTGGGTGCCCTGGCTCGGGGCTCAGTGGAGCTGCTGCTGCTGCCAACCGTGCTGCCAGCCAGCCTGTCCCCCTCCATGGGCTAAGGCTTAATAACCCTCCGAGGCTCTAAATGGGCCTGAACCAGCCCGGGGCAACCGCTGGCTCCTGGCCCGACCAGCATGTCAGATGATGCTTTGTGCCTCTCTTGTGGCAAATGCTTGTGGCTGCTGCAGGATGGCAAGAAACTAAATCACGGGGATCCCCAGCTGCCAGCAAGGAGACTGTTGGGGGTTCTTCCAGGTGCTCCTGAGCCTGAGGGGTGTTTTGCGGCCATTTCCTGCTCGGGGCCGCGCACATCCGTGTTTCCGGCACGCTGCTGATGGTGGCTTGTTTGTGCTTCTCGTCAAGAAGAGATGATGGTTCAGCTGCTTTTTGACAGGGCAGTGTCACCTATTGGGGCCACCTGGAATTGTCCAAACCTCCCTCCCATCCCTCATCTCTGCTCCTTGCTTGAACCCCCGGAGCAGCAGTTTTGCTGTCAGGTGTGCATCCTGTGGGTCAGATCCGTGTGTAGCTGGCTGGGTGCTGCAGTGAGTGGGTACGTCTGTCCTGCAGAAGCCGCAGGAAATGGTTAATGGGGTGAAATGAAGCTGGTGCTGACCCATCACCCCATGTCACACCTGAGAGACCGGGGGAAGCACAGGGAGCTCCTGTGGGGACAGGAGGGGTTTTTCTCTTCTTCAGCTTTAGGGGACTCCCCCTCCCAAGCCTGCTGCATTAGCTTCTAACCCTGGGATGGAGGCTGTCCACGCATCCTGGCTTCTCTCTCTTGCCTTGGCCCACGGGAGCCAGGTCCTGAGAGCCTGAGCACTTTGTGAACTCCCTGAGGATCAGGAAACCCTTTTCCCTCTGACTTTAGGTTTACGTGGGTGCTTTTAGATGGAGAACAGAAACGTCACTTCAATACGTGTGTTTAGGAAAGGTTCATGCACACAGAAGGCAGTTAGTGCCTCCTGCTCCTTCCTCCTGGCAATGATTCAGCACTGCAGAACCCGGGGAGGCTGCACGGCGCCTGCGTGGGCTCGGCGAGGGGCCCAGGGGCTCCTCTGCCCCGTGATGGCTCCGTGCGCTGCCGTGCGTGGGAGGCGGCGTCAGGGAGCCCGAGAGGCTGCCATTCGGAGGGGAGCTGGAGTTTGGCTTGTGGCCAGGCTGATGACACTCCGCCGCTGGTTTGCGGGTCAATTTGCAGACTCGAGAAGCTTTGCAGGCAGAGAGCAGCTCCTCCTCATCCAGCACGTGCTGCCAGCTGTCCCTGCCCGGACACAAGTCACTGCAGCAGTGCCAGGAGCACGTCACAGCCATAAAGCCATCGAAGGGTTTGAAAGGGAACCGAGTACCAGGCTATTTCAGGTCCCTGCAGGGTTGGTGAGCAGCCAAGGGGTGTCCCAGGAGGCTGGGCAGGGAGGGAGGGTGTGGAACCACTGCCACTGGTCCCTGTGACATCTCTCTGCAGGTGGCATGAGGGATGCCATGCCAGAGGCACATGCAGCTGATGCTGGCCCTGTGCCTGCTGCTGGTCCTGTGGCAATGTTTCCGAGCCCCTACAGACGGCCTCAGCCCCTTGCCTTGGGCTCCCTCCCTCCTTGACACCCCTGCTGCCCACTGCACCGCCCGTGCCAATGGCTCCACGTGGTTCAATGCCCGCTACAACATGACCATGGAGCCTCTGCTGATGGGTGCAGCCCACGAGCTCTCCTCCGACGTGGTTCAGTGGTGGCTGGTGAGTAGGAACATGGGCAGGAGCTTGGGTCTTTTCCTGGACTCCTCAAATCTATTTGCAGTGGGACAGGGCCAAGATCAAGTCGGACACATGTGCTGGTGAATGAAGAGGGTGCAGGGACCACAGCTTCCCCCCTGTCCCTTCCTTGTTGCTGTCCTACAACCTTTTCCAAATACCCCATGGGGATTTTCTGCACCTCTGCTGGGAGGAGTGGGGCTCCATCCCCCTTTGGGGGTACTGGCAGGGGGGCTGATGCTGCCTGTTGCTGCCCTTGCTCCCCCAGACCCTGCAGGGTCACCCGAAAGGCGTCCAGCTCCAGGACATAATTCAGCAGCTCTTCAGTGTCCTCCCGGCCCTGACTGGCAGCGTGTGGGACTCATCTCGCTGCAGGACTTGTGCAGTAGTGGGGAACTCGGGGCGACTGAAGGGGTCTGGCCATGGGCTGCGGATCGACGCCCATGACTGGGTGCTGAGGTGGGTGACCCACAAGGGCTTGGCCCCTCCTCATCTCCCCAGGACCTTGTCATGCCCCAGTCCCTGGCCACTCTATGAAATCTGCCAACACAAGCCCTGGGATGGTGGGGAGGGGTAAGGAGGTGGGGGTGCTGCTGGCCCTGCTCCCTGGCCCCCCACCACCCTGGGGCACACACCAGCCCTGTATTGCCCCTGTCCCCCCCAACTTTGCTGCTGGCCAGGGTCACCTGGTCTCCTTGGCCGGTGGGACTGGCAGCCTGGGACCAGTAGCATGTTTGCCTTCATTTTGGGATGTGTCTTCCTGCTGTCCCCTAGGATGAACAGAGCAAAGATCACTGGCTTTGAGCTGGACGTTGGCATGAGAACAACCCATCACTTCATGTACCCGGAGAGTGCAGTGGACCTTGGACCTGGTGTCCACCTCGTCCTTGTCCCCTTCAAGCCACTGGACCTGCAGTGGGTGGCCAGCGCCTTCTCCACCGGAGAGCTCACGCAGTGCGTCAGCTTCAGGAGCCGGCATCTTTTGTGCTAGAGCCCCTGGGGATGGTGCAGGGTGGTCCTGGGGACCCTGGTGCCTCACTGGAGCCCTGGACCACAGTCCTAGTGGGACGAAGGGCCCCTGGGTGAGGGTCCTGGCATCCCTCTGTACTGCAGTCTGGGGAGGTGGGTGGGGGCGGTGGTG